CTGGGGCATGGACCATATAATGAATCCAACCTGGAGACTGTTGCACACCCAAATTTCTCCATTCAGTTTCTGTCATTAGATGATTTTTCGGAACCAACTTTGCAATATCACTTGGCAATATTACATGTCTGATAAATAGGTAAAATATAGATTACAAATATATGAATTTTATCTACAAATGCCAACATTTTAAGGGTTTGTCCCTTAGTGACTGCATAATTTTAGCCTAATTTATATCATGCTAAGAGGGTAATAGTAGACAAAAACCCAAATTTTGTACTTATTAAGATTTTGGCCAGTCCAAAATCAAGAAAAATTTCCAAAATTAGCCAGTCATATCATATATATTTATATGTATCCAGTGCTACTCGGGTTTTGGAGTAATAAATAAAAAACAACTGAATGTCTGTATACAAATATGGATGCCTATGAAAATATACTTAAACCATACCCCTCTCACAAACATAACCCTATTCCCATCCCAATCCATATATTTCAAAATTTATTAACATTTAACCAATCTCAATCTGACTTAGTACCATACCCATTTTAACTTACCTTGGCAATAAAATTAATCCAACTGTAATGTATTGCAAGACTAACCCAACTAAATTTAATTTAAGAAATCTTTCTTCATGATGACCAAAAGTATTGATGATATAAATTAGAAAACAATGCAGCTCGGTTGGGCTTTTAAATAAATTAAAAGTAAGACCCGATATATTATTACAAAAGCATTATTAACATGTTAAATTATCTAATTTATTAATATCTTCAGTCCCATTTTTATTTCAGAAAGATAAGTGAATACTAAATAGGTAAATACAGAAATCTATAAATAAGAGATGAAATAGCACCACCAACAAAACGCAGAATAATTAAATTAAGAAGACCTAATTATGGCGGAAATGAGGTCGCCTATTCAGTGTGTAAAAACATTTGAAAAATAGGAAAAAAAAAATTGCTTTCACAAATTTCGCCAGAAAGTGTGTGACAAGCTTCCTTTTGTTATAGTCCTAAAATGTGAAAATTGATTGAATTGGTGCATATGTTTAGCTTTCTATAACAGACAATGAATCATGATCATCGGGCGGCCAGCCGCATGACACTACTCTTTACTCTTTATATATTACTAGCCGTCCCGGCCAGGCCCTGCTCTGGCTTCTGTGAAAAACCTTTCTGTTAAAGACCATTACCTGTGTGTTTTAATTAATCATCATAAACCCGGCATTGCCCACCCAAACCACAACCAACCAAAACCTACACAACAAAACGCAAACATAACGCTAACACAATTACAAATACAAGCGAAAACAAAAACCTAACAACAAACCCAACCACAACCACAAACACCAATACAAACACAAAGAAAAAACAAACAAAAAAGCAAACGAAAACAAAAACCTAACCACAAACCCAACCACAACCACAAACACCAATACAAACACAAAGAAAAAAAAACAAAAAAGCAAACGAAAACAAACCAAATCCAAACAGAAAACCAACAACAAACACAAACCCAAAGAAAAAAACACAAATGAAAAAGCAAACGAAAACAAACCAAATCCAAACGCAAAACCAACCACAAACACAAATACAAACACAAACCCAAAGAAAAAACACAAACGAAAAAAGAAAGAACAAAAACGAACCAAAACGCAACCGCAAACCAACCTAAACACAAAGAAAACACTAACACGTACATAAACGCAAAGTGCTCACAGTCTAGGCCGGGGCGGAATCGCCTGTTTCAGCTTAATAAACAACTATAGTACCCCAACTTATTCATAGTCTTTTGCACTCACTTAAACGAACGAATGCGCCAAACCAAACACGGGAGGCCCGGGGCCCCAAATAGCACCCTGTCTGGGCACCAGAGGACGCCCGGATTCGATTCACTTAAAGACTATAGTAACATTTCTTATCCATACTCTATCGCACTGTTTAAAGCGAAATTATGCACCATAGCGCTCACAGGATAGCCCAGAGCGCCAAATTGAACCCTGGTGGGGCGCCGGCGGACGCGCCTGTTTCAATTTAATGAACAATTATAATAATCCAAGCTTAACCGTAAAATACTTACAACATTTGCACTTGATCAATCCCCGCTAATTATGTAATTTTTTTTTCCCAACACCAAAACATAGTAGTAAAAAGTAAATTCTTTTCCACTAATGCAATGTTTTGTAAAGGGAAGTAATTGTGTTTTCCTAATTTATCAAAGGGAAGTAAGTGCTAAAGGACTAAATATAAATAATTTTCAGACATAATTAGAATTTTTGTAAAAGATGATATTTTTAAAAAATTGTGTTTAATGAACATGCCGACAATTATTACTATCAGTTTGAAAAATGAAAATTATTTCCCAACACTTTCAATAGTAATTTTTTAACTCATAAATTTAGACTATGAGCACGATAATAATCTAACACTTAAATCCATCAAAGTATGTCCACGACAAACAAACTTATTACATGTTACATACAGAATTGAGCTTTATATATTAGAAAATATATATAACAAAAGCTGCTGGGTAGTGTGTCAGTCCTTCCTTGTCTTTAATTTTTAAAGCAAGAAGAAAATGTGGTCTTTATTCTCAAGGTAATCTCATAATTCGGTTGTTATCCATCAATCAACTTTCAGCACTCAAGTACATTTAATAATACAATATCTTGTAAACAGTACATACTGCCTTAATTTTTTTGGTTGTTGAAAAGTTTATATCCGCTTGCATACTTGATGAAAGAGCATTAAGAAGATATTGCATACGCCCACATTGTTAACTTGTGTATAACTGCTCAATGCAAATAATATACTCTAGAGTAAATAAAATTAATAAATAAATTATGGCAGGGGAGGTAATTTAAAGGGAAATCATGGTAATACTTAATTTGTTATCTAAGTTTATAATTAATTTCCAATTTGATTTATAGAGATTAAAGGTTTAGTACTATGTTACTATGGTAACTAATAGCTCCATCTTAATGATCAATAAGAATTTGTTTTTAATAATTCTTGCAGATTTAAGAGCAACAGTTACGTATATTTTAGTAAAAGATTATGATATTTGAAATTACCAATGTTGTGGTTTTTGTGACTGAATTGAAATGAAAACTACAAACATAAATAAATTGGCTGGGATAATACAGTTACATCACAGGCTTTGTTCATATAGAATTCACTTTAAATGTAGAATTTACAATTAAGGTCAACGCCAGAATCAAGTATATCAGTGTGAAATAATAACCTATAATAGGTGGGTAAGTTACTTCCCTTAGTCCCATCGGGGAAAAAATGCTTTTTATTTGTTTGTTTTGATGTTGGAAAAAACATAATCATATAATACATGGATTGATAAAGGGCAATGTGGTAGGTAAAACGGGTATTTTAAATACTACCTTGTATTTATTGTATAGACTGAACGTAATTCTTTTCCACTAATGCAATGTTTTGTAAAGGGAAGTAATTGTGTTTTCCTAATTTATCAAAGGGAAGTAAGTGCTAAAGGACTAAATATAAATAATTTTCAGACATAATTAGAATTTTTGTAAAAGATGATATTTTTAAAAAATTGTGTTTAATGAACATGCCGACAATTATTACTATCAGTTTGAAAAATGAAAATTATTTCCCAACACTTTCAATAGTAATTTTTTAACTCATAAATTTAGACTATGAGCACGATAATAATCTAACACTTAAATCCATCAAAGTATGTCCACGACAAACAAACTTATTACATGTTACATACAGAATTGAGCTTTATATATTAGAAAATATATATAACAAAAGCTGCTGGGTAGTGTGTCAGTCCTTCCTTGTCTTTAATTTTTAAAGCAAGAAGAAAATGTGGTCTTTATTCTCAAGGTAATCTCATAATTCGGTTGTTATCCATCAATCAACTTTCAGCACTCAAGTACATTTAATAATACAATATCTTGTAAACAGTACATACTGCCTTAATTTTTTTGGTTGTTGAAAAGTTTATATCCGCTTGCATACTTGATGAAAGAGCATTAAGAAGATATTGCATACGCCCACATTGTTAACTTGTGTATAACTGCTCAATGCAAATAATATACTCTAGAGTAAATAAAATTAATAAATAAATTATGGCAGGGGAGGTAATTTAAAGGGAAATCATGGTAATACTTAATTTGTTATCTAAGTTTATAATTAATTTCCAATTTGATTTATAGAGATTAAAGGTTTAGTACTATGTTACTATGGTAACTAATAGCTCCATCTTAATGATCAATAAGAATTTGTTTTTAATAATTCTTGCAGATTTAAGAGCAACAGTTACGTATATTTTAGTAAAAGATTATGATATTTGAAATTACCAATGTTGTGGTTTTTGTGACTGAATTGAAATGAAAACTACAAACATAAATAAATTGGCTGGGATAATACAGTTACATCACAGGCTTTGTTCATATAGAATTCACTTTAAATGTAGAATTTACAATTAAGGTCAACGCCAGAATCAAGTATATCAGTGTGAAATAATAACCTATAATAGGTGGGTAAGTTACTTCCCTTAGTCCCATCGGGGAAAAAATGCTTTTTATTTGTTTGTTTTGATGTTGGAAAAAACATAATCATATAATACATGGATTGATAAAGGGCAATGTGGTAGGTAAAACGGGTATTTTAAATACTACCTTGTATTTATTGTATAGACTGAACGTAATTCTTTTCCACTAATGCAATGTTTTGTAAAGGGAAGTAATTGTGTTTTCCTAATTTATCAAAGGGAAGTAAGTGCTAAAGGACTAAATATAAATAATTTTCAGACATAATTAGAATTTTTGTAAAAGATGATATTTTTAAAAAATTGTGTTTAATGAACATGCCGACAATTATTACTATCAGTTTGAAAAATGAAAATTATTTCCCAACACTTTCAATAGTAATTTTTTAACTCATAAATTTAGACTATGAGCACGATAATAATCTAACACTTAAATCCATCAAAGTATGTCCACGACAAACAAACTTATTACATGTTACATACAGAATTGAGCTTTATATATTAGAAAATATATATAACAAAAGCTGCTGGGTAGTGTGTCAGTCCTTCCTTGTCTTTAATTTTTAAAGCAAGAAGAAAATGTGGTCTTTATTCTCAAGGTAATCTCATAATTCGGTTGTTATCCATCAATCAACTTTCAGCACTCAAGTACATTTAATAATACAATATCTTGTAAACAGTACATACTGCCTTAATTTTTTTGGTTGTTGAAAAGTTTATATCCGCTTGCATACTTGATGAAAGAGCATTAAGAAGATATTGCATACGCCCACATTGTTAACTTGTGTATAACTGCTCAATGCAAATAATATACTCTAGAGTAAATAAAATTAATAAATAAATTATGGCAGGGGAGGTAATTTAAAGGGAAATCATGGTAATACTTAATTTGTTATCTAAGTTTATAATTAATTTCCAATTTGATTTATAGAGATTAAAGGTTTAGTACTATGTTACTATGGTAACTAATAGCTCCATCTTAATGATCAATAAGAATTTGTTTTTAATAATTCTTGCAGATTTAAGAGCAACAGTTACGTATATTTTAGTAAAAGATTATGATATTTGAAATTACCAATGTTGTGGTTTTTGTGACTGAATTGAAATGAAAACTACAAACATAAATAAATTGGCTGGGATAATACAGTTACATCACAGGCTTTGTTCATATAGAATTCACTTTAAATGTAGAATTTACAATTAAGGTCAACGCCAGAATCAAGTATATCAGTGTGAAATAATAACCTATAATAGGTGGGTAAGTTACTTCCCTTAGTCCCATCGGGGAAAAAATACTTTTTATTTGTTTGTTTTGATGTTGGAAAAAACATAATCATATAATACATGGATTGATAAAGGGCAATGTGGTAGGTAAAACGGGTATTTTAAATACTACCTTGTATTTATTGTATAGACTGAACGTACTGTTTACAAATTATCATGTTCCATCAATAACAGTTTAGAAGCTGTTCCTAAATGTCCTCTATGTTAACTTATATCTTTCTACTTGCAGATAAGATGTGAGTATTATAGTCATTCAAATTTAATCAGGCGCGTCCACCGGGTGCTATTACCCACCCCAGGCCTTCCTGTAAGCGATATGGTGCTTACGTTAGTTTTAAAAGGTACGATAGACTAAGGATAAAAGGGTTACTGTAGAATTTCACTAAATCAAATCCAGGTCGTCCTCCAGAGCCCCAAACAGGGAGCTATTTGGCACCTTCCCATGAGCGCTATGGCGCCTACGTTCAGTTTAGTAAGTTCAATAGAATATGGATAAGATGGGGTATTATATTATAGTCGTTTAATAAGTTTAATCAGACAGTTCCAACGGCGCCCTAGGACTATACTTTAAGCACTATGCGTTTATGTTTGAATTTAAGTTTGTATATATGTTGTGCGTTATTGTTTGTCTTTAAGTTTGCGTGTGTTTGACTTTGTGTTGGCGTTTATGTTTTTGGTTGGTTGTGGTTAGCGTTGGCACAAAAAGATATATTTTCTAAATATTCTTCTTACTAAACACAAAATGCCATGGTCCTTTACAGATAGGTTTTTCACAGAAGTCAGTGCAGGGCCTGGTCGGGATGGCTAGTCTTTTATAAACAGATGCCAAAGGCAATCAAATATAAAGTAGTCTGATAAACTTGATAAAGTAAATAATGTAACAGTATGGGAAAAGGACTAGAAAAATCTCACTGAAGCAACACATTTTAGATATTGATGGAGTCAACAAGGATGACCAAGTAAAAGAAGGAGACCCGAAAAAACAAATAGCGCAATGGGAAAAGAGAAATTCCACAAATCATTTGTTAATACCTGTATTCATATTTGTCATCAAAATATTTATCTGAATAAGATATTTGATCTTGAGGCATTATGTTGAAATACCAGCTTGTCAGGATTAATCACTCAAAATCCTGAAAGTTAAAAGATAGAAGCAAGGTTAATTAATCATTTTCTTAACACAAATTTATACAATAATTGATTTCTCATAATACCAAGTTTTATCTTGCAATGCATTATAAGCAATTTTAGAATGGAATCTTGCAACTACTCATTATTGCTAAAATATAACTTGTTTGTTATTTTTTGTTGCTTTTAACAAAACATTCATTTTTTCATTCATATTATGGTGGGGGAAATATATAATGCTTATATTGTTAGATTGGGACAGAGTGGCTTAGCAGTAGAGAGCTGCACTGCTAACCCATAAGTATCAAGTTCGAATCCGGGTTGAAGTCAGTAGACCGTCCGTGAGTCCACCCAACTCTGATGGGTACCTAACTCATGTTAAGGAAAGTAAAGGCGGCTGGACATAGTGCTGACCCCACTATCTCTTCATATGCCGAGGTCACAGAAACAAGTGAATACTTCACTTGCCTCATAGACCGTCAGGTTTGAAAGTGAAACTTTACTTTATTTTTATACTGTTAGATAGGTTGGTGGGGTTCACTCACTAAGTTGGGATTCTTTTCTCTATTATTACTTTCCTTCTTAAATGTGAACAAACTAGAAGTCTTCACACATATAGCCTACATCTGTGACTAGGACGAGATCATTCTTAATTGCGTGCATTCAATAAAACTCTAAGATCAGCTTGATACACAACATTTAATTATTATACATCCGATGATTGAATACAATAGGATTAACGTCACTACACAATACATTTGTTGCCTACACCTACAGTTCAATGCTCCCTACAACTATTGTCACTACACTGTTTCCTAACTCTACACTGGTCTACGTCCATTTTCTTCCATGGTTCAACCCCCAACTGACTACCCTCAACGGTCTCCTAACCCTCACTGTCCTAACTTCTTTGTCTTCCCCCATCAAGCCTAACCTAATTTGTATATCACCACAGTTCTGGGGTACCTGATTAAAAATGTCAAACCCAGCTAATAAACTTCCCTGGCTTTCCCAGTCCTCCCCCCAACTAAGATCACCCAGGTCAATTAGATACGTGAGTGCTACACCTACCCCATGGATGATGTTGTCCATAATCTATATATTACTACAACTCAAGTTTGTTTACATGTTTGTATTTTTTTTATTTTTTTTTTTGTTTGTCTGTTGGGTTTCAGGAGAGAATCTTCACTATGTGTAGAACTGTAAAATACGTATTTAGGTAGTGAATAATGTTCTTTTTGACCAAACTGTTAATCACAAATTATATTTTAAAAAACTTTAATTTATTGATATATTCGTTGGTAGATACACCACTTTAATTATCAAGTTCAGAACAATGACTTTACTTACTTATAGTGACGTCTAATGATTTATTTACTCTTTATAACAATAATGGCAGCTTCCATCGAAGATTTTGCTGTCCATTCAAAAGTTTAACGCATTATAAAGCTAATTTTCTGTCGGCAATAGCTTTAACCATATGTCTGTTTGATATTTTTATTAGGTTCCAACACTATTATCAATTTTCAAAGTTCTTCTAATTTGAGTATACAATAAATTTCTCTAGATCTACTGATAAGCTGTCGGACGAAGGGAAAGTCAATCCTAGTCCTAGATCTAAAATCTAGGCCAAACCAAAATTAATTAGTTAAAAATAAAATCAAATATAAAAACACAAATTATTGAGTTTCTTTATTAAACTACTTTAGTCCTTACATATTTGATATACATCTTTGCTTTTTAGCTTCAAGGATCTTCAAATTTGAGAATTCAAGGGATTTATCTAATAGGAAGAGCCTAGATAGCTGAGATGGTAGTGTAATAGTTACCATGCGGGTGGCACCGGTTCAAGACACATCATGTCGATGTTAAATTTTTTTTTCAATTTTTTTTTATAGATGTGAATGATAAAGTGGCCTATCTGAACTTGGCGGGACACAGGGCAGGTGAAGTAGAGTTAACCTATTTCTGTGTCCTCAGCACATATTCAATGTTGCGAGACGCCGCACCGCCTACACCGTGTTATAAACACTATATAACCACCGCAATTCGTCTGCTATACAAGGTGTTCAAAACATTCATCAAAAGAATATTAAGTCATAGCCGCGAACACCACCTTACATTTATTAAAGAATAAGGATTTTTTACAGCAATTTCTCAGTTTTCAAAAAATAAAAGCTAAATTTTAAAAATATAAACAACTTTGTTTTTATGCTTATAATTGCAATTATTATCAAACTTTCACACATGAATTGATAAAGAATGTCTATTTGGAAATATTACTTATTATCTAATTTTAATATTTTTCAGGCAAACTGCCTTCGGGCATTTGTCACAAGTGTCCATTTGGGAAATCGGCCTTCAGGCAAACGGCATTCGGGCAAGTGTCTTCCGGGAAAAATGTCCGCCTCCCGTTTTGTCGTGGGTCATAATGATGGGAGATGTTTTATCAAGAGCCAAATCGACTAGAGACTATAAGTGGGGAGCCTAAAAAACGGGAGCCTTATTGACAGGAGCCATTTTGTTGCTAGCCTACATAACGGGAGCCCATTGGTCGGGAACCTAAATGACAGGAGCCTATTTGTAATGAGACTGTATGATAGAATCCATTTGTCACTAGCCCTGTTGACGGGTCAATTTGAAAGGGCTCTTATGTTGGGGCCGTTTTGTAGTTGGCAAATAAGTATTAGTAATGAATTTAATACTTATGTATTACATATTCAGAAAGTGCAAATCAACTTACGATTCAAATGTAATGTAAAGATTTTAGAAATATGTGCGCATGTTGTGTAGGTATGTATGACACACGTACAAATATTTATAATAAAGTATGTAGATTTAAATCTATAATACTTATAATATTTAATAGCATGTTCCAACCTTTTTGGTTTCCATTGTGTCTTTTTACAAGCTTTTATTTAACTCACTTCCTCTGTCTGTCGTAAGTCGACAGTCTGTCGTCAGTCTAGATCGCAACGTAGGAGTGAAAATTCGGACAGTTCTACTTGACCGATACGATTCACAGTTGGCACGTGGGTCAAGACATGAAGACAATGCAATCTGAAACTAAATTTGACTTAATTGGATGCCTAATTAATTTTTTATGAATTAATTAAAATTTGGACCGAATTAGTAGGCATGTCAATCCAACCACACCACACGCGTCATCACTTTCAATAGCTGCGCCATCAGGTTCAATAGCTGCGCCATCACGTTCAATAGACGCGCAATGGTTTTTAGTCATGTAACACTATTGTAAATAAAACATGTAAAGTACTGAAAAAAAAATTTCATAAAAAACGTTTTAATAACAAGCTTTTATGTAATGATGCACTAAAAAGTAGAAAATAAATTATACGCTACTATTTAAATTACTATAAAGAAAGGCGTGGGTCTCTTCTCAAATATTAATAAAGGTATCCAATAGGTACTAAAGTACTAAAGTGACCCACGCTTTTCTTTATAGTAATTTAAATAGTAGTGTATAATTTATTTTCTACTTTTTAGTGCATCATTACATAAAAGCTTGTTATTAAAACGTTTTTTTTATGAAATTTTTTAAATACTAAATTTAAATTAGCGTGAAATAGCTTAAAGTCGTAGTGAGATTACCCAACTAAAAACGTAACAAAAGTGGAGAGTGCTGTGCAAAATATTTTATAGTATTTTTACTGATGGTTTATGTTTAGGCCTAGGCTACAAAAAAAAACACAAAAAAACATTCACATTAGGCCTAATATTATAGTAATAAACACTCAATATTTAGATCTATTCTTTAGATCTGTAGTTAAATCAAATAAAAATATATTTCTTAGAAAAAATTTGTGACTTTTTTTTTAACCAAGTGACTACTCTCCCCAACGTCTCCACTTAGTCGGCAAAAGATAGCTCTGCGCATGTGCAGTGACCTATGACTAAGGTTAGAATTAGGGATAGGATTAGGGCTAGGGATAGGATTGGTGTTAGGGTTCTGCGGTTGTAAACACACGTATCTGCAGTACAGTACCAACAAAAACATTGCAGCGATGGAAAGTCGTAGTTTCTCTCCACTGCGCATGCACATCTTATTCCGACTAGCATCGGCCTTTTTTTAAAGCCTGCCTCCTAAAACTTTTAGGCTATTCACAGTCGACTGTGAATAGCCGTATTGGCGGGGCTATTCACAGTCTTGACAGTTTTTGATAGATTTAATGTTAAAAATACCCAACTAGACATGAAGATGTGTGGTCTAGTGGTCATGGGGAGTGACTGTCGTGCTAGTAGGTGTGGGTTCAAATCCATCCAATGCCTTATTGCTATGACTCTTAATGTACGCCTCTTAATCTTATAGTCAAAATATTATTCGGTTACTTTTTTGTTAATTTTTTTTTCCATTTGTGACGTAATTATTGGCATATCAGCAAAAAAAACCCCAACCCGTAGATTTTAGCTAAGAGAAAAAACACAAACGTGTGTGATGGAAACTGTGAATTATAGCTGATGGAAAAGGACATCCTATTTCACCTGTATTTATTCTATGTGATAATGTGAATTTTAAATGGTAATTGATAGTTGAATAGCATTGTGAACAACCAACTAAACTGATGCTTAATTAGTTAAGTATTATTTATTTAAAAATTAGTAGATTTATTATTCTAGTCTATAGTATAGTATATATTTAGAGTGCATAATTGATCATCTATGACTTACGTAGACTGTAGCAGATGTCTGATAATGATATGAGCCTAAATGCTAAACTAAACTTTAACCAACTTTTTTTTAAAAATCCTAACAAAATAAAAATAGCAATGCTCTCTTACTCTCTTAGGTAAAACCTTAGTTTAGCGTCAGAAATTATCGGGTAATGTTTGTTGAGTTTCGGTAACTAGAGTTACGGTAAACCATGGTTTATTTGACCACTGAAATTGAAATATAAATAAATTGAAAGTCGATTGTAGTAAATTTATGTTTTAATTTTTTAAGTTTAATCGACAAAAGAAAACAAGAATAAATATAATAGTAGATTTAAATTAGTAGATCTAAAAATAAAAAAAAACAACATATAGGCCTAGGCTATTAATATAAATAATGAAGTCAAATGTAATAATTTAATGTTTTTGGCTTGCAGCGGATTTGCGACCATTAATTAATTAGATCTAGCTAGATATCTAGCTGCTAGGCCAAGTAAAAAAATCTAGATTACGAAAATAGTAAAAATGATTACAAAAATAAATCTATCAAAATTTTAAACATGCTGTATAAAAATAAAAGATGACGCCAAATAAAGTATGGTTTACAGTACTTCCGGTGAATTCCAGAAGTGTGTGACAGACTTTGGCATTGTTTTACTGTTTTTTACTGCTATACGTCACTATACGATTTCGGAATAATAACCGACGCTAAACTAAGGTTTTACCCTCTCCTCTCTTAATCTATAACTCACTCCCCAGTCACAATAGGCCTAAATGCTTTTATTATTTTAAGATATTATTCACAGTCGTATTTAATACTATTTAACATGAAATGACAGCCGACTGTGAATAGCCGTAATTAAGTATTGGGGCTATTCAGTCGGCTGGGAATAGCCCCAGCCAATACTGGCTATTCCCAACTGGGAATCGGAATAGCCTTGGCCTTTATTAATAAAATATTGTTCATCTATCATCTAGATCTAGACTTCTAGAATCTAGATCTATCTGCTCTAGCTCTAGTAATAAAAAAAGTATCTATTCACTATTCAGTCTATTCTATATTAACTAGCTAGTTGAGTAGTAACTAAGTAACTAGTACTAGATCTAGATTCTAGCTAGATCTAGATCTAGTAGTAGTAGCTAAGCCGGTAATCTATCGTTTTGGGTACGTAAAATCGCCCGCGGCTATTTATGTACGAAAACGTTACCTCATTGTCAAGGCTTTAATAGAAGTATATTGTCATACTTTTGTGTCAAATATTATAGATAAATGAATAATAAACCTAAATCAATGGCTAAATATATCGATATAGGCTAGAAATTAACTTTAAACAGCAGTGTCTGAGAGCAAGATTTGCTATATAAACAGCAGCCATTTGTAAAATAGAGTGGCTTCCCCCTGAATCTGGCGCTAAAAGCTTATAAAAATCAAACTTAGACAAGATGGCTGCTAGATCTATATAGTAAATGAGCATGGTTGCATCTGTTGGAAACATCGCTAGTCTTCATGTATTACGAAAAAGTTTTAATTCAATTGTTTAAAAACAGGTACATAAATGAATCAAGGAAACATTTTTGAATTTTTTAAAACATAAATCCTCCTCAAAATGTGAAATAATTATTAAAATTTAAGGAGTCACCTGTTTTTCACATTACAAATCGCGGGTGATTTTACGTACCCAAAACGATAGATTACCGCTAAGCCTGCCCTAAGGACGAAGGTGACGGTCTAGTCTACCTACCGTAGTTTAAAGACTTTAGATTTTACGTTCTAGCACTAGATCTGCCTTGATCTAGAATCTAGTTAGATCTAGATCTCGAATCTAGTAGTAGCTCTAGATCTAGATCTACTACAATATTATTGAATAAGGCGCGCAGTTCGGAGAAACAGATTTCTTGTTTTGCTATGATCCTTCTTTCAGTTTTGCTTATCTAACTGACAAGAACACTCTAATCGAAAATAAATAATCGAAAATATTCATATTATCGACAATATTCCACCAGCTTTTACTTTCTCATATTGAAACATTGATATTTATATAGCTATGCCTAGAGGAAGTATTAGAACATGAAATTTTGTCAGTTTTCATCGTTTACACCTCAGTACTTCATCATATAGGCCCCTACGGAGTATTTATTTTATATAATATATAAAGTATAAAGCAAAGAGGTCAGGTGCCCGATAGGGCACTTCCCAGCGCCGCAGGCGCGTGAAATTTGGCACGATGGTGCCTTGGGGCGATTGAACACGAGGGCCGGTGACGGTTTGCCGAAACGTCTACGGACAGGGGGTCAAAACTGACCTCGACTGACCGGCGCCTTATATGGGCTATATTACGAAAAAAAATTTCACCCGACGACCCCACTTTAAATTTTGTGAGGTGGTAGGAGAACGCCTTGGGGTGTCATAAAAAACTCGGCATATCTGGGAAAACTTCGTAAAGGGGTCAAAACTGACCAGTTGTATTTCCCTATATAATCTTTGTATTTTATTTTTATGGGAAAAACAGGGTAATTTCAAAACGAATTTTAGGGCACTTACCCTCTTTACATCTGGCTAATTTTTTGAAGGTTTATAATTAAATGGCTTGGCCGTAAGGCAGACCTGTCGGTTTCACTCAAAGCCCGTCGTCGAGGGCTAAAAAGTGACCGCGAGTGAAATTCTCTTTATATGAGCTCTATTACGAAAGGAATTTTCCTCCGACGACCCCCCTTGATATTTTGTGAGGTGGTAGGAGAACGCCTTGGGGTGTCACAAAAAACTCGGCATATCTGGGAAAACTTCGTAAAGGGGTCAAAACTGACCGGTCGTATTTCCCTATATAATCTTTGTATTTTATGGGAAAAACAGAGGGTGATTTCAAAACGGATTTTAGGGCACTTACCGTCTTTACATCTGGCTAATTTTTTGCATACTCTTAGGTAAATGGCTTGACCTTTAGGGAAAACTGTCAGTTCAACTCAAAGCCCTCGACGAGGGCTAAAAAGTGTTGCGAGTGAAATTCTCTTTATAGGAGCTCTTTTACGACACTCTCACAGCAGCCCTAACAGTCATGTATAAATGTGTCATCTAGTTCATATGGTCTTTGTGCTAAATTTCTCTTTTGCACATTTTTCGTTGTGTTTTTTCTGGTTGCGCTTTTTTCTGTTTGCGCTTTTTTCTGTGTGCGCTTTTTTCCGTTTGAGCTTTTTTCCGTTTGCCCTTTTTTCTGTGTGCACTTTTTTCTGTGTGCGCTTTTTTCTCTTTGCGCTTTTTTCAGTTTGCGCTTTTTTCTGTTTGCGCTTTTTTCTGTGTGCGCTTTTTTCCGTGTGCGAGGGGGGTGGGGGGTGCGACCGCACTGGGTGACACCATTTAGGGGGGTGACACCAAGGCAAAAAATAGCAAAATATATAGAGACAAACTTGAGGGGGGGGGGGGGTGCAAATCAAAAACTTGAGGGGAGGGTAGCAAATCGAAAGTTTGAGGAGGGGGGGGGGGTGCAAATCGAAAATTTTAAAGTCTGTCCCCGGGTCTGGGGGGTGACACCATTAAGTGCTGCACCGGGTGAGACCCGACCTCGCTACGCCACTGCATATACACATTCATATACACATACATACACACATACATATATATATTTATGACAAACGCATGGTGTTCTTTGTTAGGTCTTGTGCTACCTTTTCTTGTAGCACTGTAGGTATTTGTCCACGGCTTAGGAGTTCCGCCTCTACTAGGCAGTGGACACCTCATTTGGCACCTATATATCCAACTCATATAAAGAAGCACACTCTGACTGCAGGTTCCAGATTACAAAACTTTATTTCCTACTAACACTGTTCTCTGCATTCAATGTTGTGCTCTCCCATCTGACCAAACCATCCCCCATTTTAATACAAAAATATAGGACTACTACTCCTTCTTAACTGTTTTAATTAAACAAGCTGCAATTTTGGTATTAACATATATTATATATGCAGGCTTCCATTATGATTAACATATTGTTAATACAAATTGATTCTAATTAATGGAGTAAAAAAAAACACAAATTCTGACGTATTAACATATTGTTAAAGGATTGCTGAAATAAGTGTTAGTGTTAGTGTATAAACATATTTTATTATAGATATTTCACACACAATTTTTAATATTTTCTAGTTGTATCTACATATTCCCCATCAGGAACACTATAATCTTTAAAAGCTGGAGACTCTTTAGGCCCTTGAAATTCTATAGGAATAAAACTGTAGTCAACCTAAGAATGATAAAATTATAACTTACTAGTACAAAATTTACTGATGTCTCAAACATTCAAAGCACACCACTAAACCTATGTAATTACCTTTTTTCTTCTTCTTGTGCGTTCTAAATTTTAGTGTTGGAAGAGATTCCCTCCAACACAATTAAGTATAAGTGTCAACTTGTTATGCGCCATATAGGCCGGTGACTCCAATTTCAGCCTGCTTTTCTTTTTGTATTTGCTTTTACAGCCTTTGTCTAACTAAAAACAAACTACAAGGCAGCAGTTGTTTGATTTTGGAATTTCTCCTAAAAGAGTTGCTGTCCCCAGCTGTCCAGCCTCATCTGCCCGAGGGTTGGAACTCAAAAGACTTCAGTTTAGCAACAATGAGCTTTACCGACTTCACCACGCCAACCCCTAATTACCTTTTAACTATGTATATAAGTATAAGAATAATTAACAAAATATTACTAATAATCCTTAAATCATTGAACAATTATAACTAGATCAACCTTTTGGAATATTTTACCTAACAAACAATATTATCAAGGATGAAGATCGAAAGAATTATGCCAAGTCTTACCAATAAAGCTGACTGATATAGATCTTGTGAAACTGCTTTCAATTCTTGTAGAGCTTCAAATTGTGCAGACATTATCTGTTCACACAATTTGTACTCAAAATGCCACTGTTTTGTTTTGTGAAATCCCCATTTTTTAGTTAAAGCAGCTCTCGATTCATCCCTTTCTAATGATGGTACAAGGGGGCTTCTTTTCCGTTCACTTAAAAAAGACAAAAAGAGATTTTAAAAATTTGAAAAGAAAAATCATAATACAAGCAGATATGGATGACCAAGAAATAAATTAAGCATAAGAATAATTAAGTATTAAAAATAAACTTCAACATGAAATTCTTCCCCCTTAAAGTTTAAAAACATTAAAATTGTAAAAGTACTTTTTCAACAGATAGCCAGAGGCGTAGCGACGGGGGGCGGGTGGGTACAAATGTCCTAGGGCATCGACCCAAGGGGCGCCAAAATAAGCTCACCCTAGCTGTTATTTTGAATTATAAATATAAAAAATATATGGGGGGGGGGGCAAATTGAAAATTGTCACCGTTCCCCCCCCCCCCCCCCCCGACGCTGGGGGGGGGTCACTGCGGCCTCTGCAGACAGCTTATGTGTAATTTGAATTGCATTAGTGACTTCAAAGTTTGATTCACAATAAATAAAATTGCCAAGGTCTTATATGATTACTGGCTGTCCCTGGCAGGCTCTGCACTGGCTTTCATGAAAAGCTTATCTGTCAAGGGCTGTGACTTGTGTGTTTATTTAGCATCATATACCCCACACTGCCCTTATTTTGAGAATATATTAATTAAATTTCCAATTAATTTTTGCATGCAAGTATAGAAAATATATATAACTTTAAACAAGCCACAACCATAAACGAACATAGACATAAACATAATCTCCTCTCCTTGTACATATACGCCTAAAATAACTAGCACATAAATAAAAAAAAACATAAACCCTAACCCTTACTAAAACTTCAAAACATAAACACACAAAAAATAAGCATAAACCAACCCTCACCACAGCCTCAACCACAAACATTAATATAAAGTCCTACACTGACATCTAAAACCTTTATTTAAACCTATTCCTAGCCCATTCCTAACATATCCTTGAGCTATCCCAAACCGGATCTCTCTCTCAAATTGACGGGGAGTAGTTGATTGGGGATGATATCCTACTGTAACTCTTTGTGCAGGATTATTATCATCAACCTTCTGACATGTTCTTATTTTCCCGTCCCTTTCCACTGGTTATATGTCAGAAAATTGGCCACATCTATTAAAAAAATGTGATGCTAATAATGGGCCGCCCCCTTAACTCTAATTCACGTTCAAATAAACAAACCCTAACTTTCAATTTAATATCACCTAAATGTGTATTTAATTTATAACACTTTACTAATGTTTTGAACTACAGTAATAGTTAATCCAACAGGAAATTCCAATCTTCCCTTAGCTATCACGCACATTCACTCTAATAATTAAAGTATATTTCATATAAACCAACCGATAAAATTGCCACAAATTACATTTCTAATTTTTTAAAACTCAAATAATAAACCAAGTATATTTTTTAACATTTTAATTTCAAGATTTAACTCTACCATAACAAAAAAATACCAAATGTGACTTATTATAACAATAACCCTATTAAATTAATCTATCTTATACAATCTTTTATATTTTACGTGCCCCTCCACTTAAGTTGCTGCGGGGTTAGAAGGAAGTGTGGGAAATATTTAAAGAGGATATTATCAATCCTATATTCTTAGCATGTGACCTTGTTATTTAAATGTACACAGTGCCTGTGCTACATTTCTTGAATCATATTTGTCGAAACCGCCCAGGTGTGAGGGACATAGAAAGGCGCTCTCAGTTACACTAATGAAAGGGCGCTGAGTATGGCCCCTGGCTCGGTTTAATCAACGATTGTCGTGTGCCAACGTATCAATATTGTAGTGCTCACTGGTGAGCCCGGGGCACCAAATTGCCCCCAGCCAGGTCGCTGGAGGACGCGCCTGATAAGAAATAGTCAATGATTATTGTTGCCCATCATGTCTTTAGTATTTGGACTTTTTTTTAAATGAACGTAGGCGCCATAGTGCTCACAGGGGAGTCTAGGGCACTTTGGGACATGCAATCACCGGGGTGCTGGCAGCTGTGTCTCAGTTTTACCACTGAATATAATAGTACCCCTTTCCCGCTATGCAGGATGCCAGATTAACAGATTGGATACCAAGTGCTACAATAACCACTCTAGAACTCTTGGCGCCAAACCGTGACAAAAATCACACTACCCTCAGCGGCGCCAAGAAGAAATTTTTTATAGCAGTAACCTTCTCAACTCCCCAAAGTTTCATGGCAATCGGATAAACAGTGTCAAACCGCAATCGACTTTCATTTCATGGAGATCGGATGAAAAGTATATGCATAAAAGACAGACAAACAGACATACATTGCTTTATATATATATATATATAGATAGATTGATTGTGACCAAAAGAATTGATAAATAAATAATAAGTAACCAATGCAGCTAAATTGCTCCAGCACTGAGGTCTTAAGTAGTGATAAAATAAAAAAATAATTAGTAAACAATGCACCTGTGAAGTGCCTTTAAATATAAAATAAAAAGTAAAACCTGAATTATAATAGCAGCATTTTAAATTATGAAATATTGAATTTTATTGTATCTCAACCTGTTTTTATTTAAGAATGTTAAATACTAAATAACACCACAGTTGAAAGCAGTGCAGAATATTTAAATTATGAGGAGCTAAAATGGCAGAAATTAGGTCACCTATATGGCCTATAGAAAAATAAAAAAATTGAAAACATTTTGAAATTTCACTGAATTTAGCCAGAAAGAGTGCATGCGAACACTCCCGGTGTTATAGTAGCTAGATCTATAATGTACCAGTGTGGCAAAAAAAAACAAAAAACATGAAACATTCACTCTTGGATTTCTATAAAAGACAATGCCAGCTGTTGTGAATGGAATTTTAGTGTACTGCATGGGTCTGAGAGTATGTGTGCAGTGGAATGTGTATTAATAAAGTTTTTGAATGTGACAAGCCAAGTAAGGATGTGACATGTGAGAGTATGATTTGGTTGTTAGGGAAGGAGTTGAAATCAGTCTTGGTCTTGTCATGTTAGGGTGTGGATGTCTTTGTCTGTCGTCCCCGATGCAGTCGTTTCCGTTCTATGCGATTTAACTTAAATTAACAACGCCATGCTGTTCTGATTTATATTAAATCGTCTGTGTACACTGCACTTAAAGTCCTTCGACCCTGTCCACACCTCACATTCGTAACACCAGCCAGTACATCAGCCACAGACATACTTAGATTTATATGGTTATATATATATCTATAGATAATTAGGCCTAAATCATTGTTTTTAAAACTTATGTATTACTTACTTGGCTAATTTTAACTTTCTATTGTCTAATTCTATTTCATCAACTGGCTTTAAAATTCGACCAAATTTTGTGAGTCTCCTTATCTCTTTTTCTATTCTTTTGATTTTCTTTGCTTCCCGAGCTGCAATAATACCAGGGTCAATCCTTTTCTTCTTTTTCATAGGTTCTGCCCTAAAGACATTAAATTGGCATTTAAAAAAATTCACAATCATTAAATATTTGCAAGTCAAAAAAAATATATTTTTAACATTATTCCTAATTAGTATTTTGCAGTTTTCAAATTAGAATCTTGAAATAGTAGTAGGCTTCGCTCAAGCCATAAGTAGCCAAGGCAAATTTTAAACATTTACAAGACCAAATTTCTGAAAAGCATTCTCCCCTCAATGTAACATATGTAGATTTGGAAAAGGCCTTTGAATCTATCGTATGGATAGAGAAACTAATGGTCAGTCAAGACACAGTGGAATCTCAACCTAAGTGATAGCAATAATTATAAAAAACATCGATAAATACTATGATGATTTTACTTGCCAAGTGGTACAGATAGAAAAACATGGTAGAAAATGAAAAACTGGATGATGAGTAGACAGGAAACAATAGAAAGGCAAATTATGGAGAAGAAATGGTGATGCTTAGGAAAGTTGCTGACAATTGAGCTGGACAGGCTCTAACTCTAAGTGGAACCCACAGCCAAGCAATGCAGACACGGTGACAATTGTTGACTCGAGAATTCCGAAAGGATAGGTATGAATTGAAAATGACAGGAGACTAGAGAGTGGAAAGGTTTGACAGAGGCTGTTTGCTCATCAAGGAACAAAATGGACATATTTGTTTAATTTTAATAGACACTATTAAGTTTAAGATTCTAAACTAAAATATTATAAATATTTTTGAGTTACTGCACAGACAGAATTAGGCAATTATATCATAATAGTAGATTTCATTAAGAGTAATTAATAAGCACAACATATTTCTTTTTTGCAAGTAACTGCTTTGTAACAATTTAACAGAGATTGTTGAAGTTATATGAAAGTTCTGCATTTTCTTAAGAAGAAATATTTGCACGTGGCTATTTCAGCCTTGAGCCCTATCTTATCTTCAATTATCTAAGATACTTGTATACACCATGCTTACCATAAAAGATGAGTCTTATAAAATAATAAAGGTGTTGACTGAGTATGAAAACTTGAACATAACATGTATGGCTTCAACAGATATGATCTGTAAAGTAATAGAAATAAAACAAAATGTAGTCCTTGCTAATTATTACAATAAATCACAGTTAAACATAATAGCTGATCCGAAGGTCCCAGAGTCAATTTGTCTTAAATTGGCACTTAATAATTATGTTGGAGGCAATCCCTTGCATCATTACAACTAAGAACCATAAAAAAAATTGATTTTCCAATTAAGTGATTTATAGAACTAACCCAAAATATTAACATTGAAGGTTTATATTGGGCCTTAAATTCTATGTTTAGATAAAAAGTAATAGATGTACTTCTTTAATATAGGGGAAAGTCTAACCCTACATAAACACTGTATTTCTTAAAGCCTTTTTACTTCTTAACTGTAATATTGAAAGGGATTTTCAACACAATTAAGTATTACAAGTTAACATTATGGCCCATTAATTGCTTTTCTTTCAGGTTTTTATTCCATAGCTTCTGTCCACCAAACAACAATCTGCAAGGAGGTAGTTGTTTGATTTTGGAGTTGTTTTCTAGGTTGCTGACCCCAGCAAATCAAACTCATCGACCAGGGTGACGAAGACTTGTTTGGGAGTTGGCAATCATACTCTCTCCTACCTGACCTACTGACCATGCAGTCCCAGTTTTAACAAAAAAAGGGCAGACAAAGCCCAAAATTCATTTTGTGTGTTCGTCTTTTATGAATTACTAGATCTAAATATTTCATCCAATTGTCATGAAACTTAGGGAAGTTATTGGAATCACTCCTAGAAAGGTCTGTGTCATTTAAAAAAATGTAAATATCCTCTCCCCCATTAAAAATTTCTGGCTTTAAAAAAAAACAACTAAATACTGGCAGTCAGCATTTCTTTCAGACACCTTTCTATAGGGGTGTAGATGGAATGAAGGGGCGGGGGAGGAGAAGATTGCGATGATGGCTACACCAAAATACACTTCTTTATTTTACTACATTAACATAGGCTAAATGATACTTTTTTGCTAGTCTTGCATTCTTACTCTTAGCATCTTAACAGTGGTTCTTCACAACTACAACATTTAAAAATATGTAAATAATAACCACATTATTATAGTCAACATCATTTTTTTAAGTACAAATGAGAGGACTTAGCAGTTGCTTTTGTTTTGCAGACAATTATTCTTTCTAAAGGGGCTCTAATAAGGGTTTATTTCCAAGCAGACAGCAAAGTGCAAATACATCGGCACATGAGCAATGAGCACACAAGCCCCAGGGTGTGCTGGAGGAAAGTCAATAACCCTTAATAATAGTGAGGTAAAACACCACAAATACTACCCTGGTGTCTGGAGTGTCATGGGGCACTCTCAGGAACCACGAGTTACTCTATCTTGAAAGACCTGAACTTATTACTACAGTAGATAAATTTAAAACTAAGTGAACAGATTATCTAGAAATCCAGACTTACGACTGAGATGCAGTAGAAGTTAAAGATGTCAACAAAGAAAACCTTGCCATGCTGCCCATAGCGCAGAGTAGAACCTCTAATTCTGATGATAAAAATCATAAGCAGATCTTAGTCTAGATTTGAACTTGACTGTCTAGACTAGCTACTAAGCATCTAGTTGTTAGCTAGTACAAGTAGATCTAAATCTTCTTGGTCTAGAAGGTAGAACATCTTGATTCTTGTACTAGAATCCTGCACAGTGTTTCTTCCAGGGATCTAAGAGCCCCCCCCCCCCTCCCCTCTCCCCCACCCCCCGAACTAAATGGAAATTATTCAGAAAATATATATATAGCCTACTTTTAACGGTGTCCGTTAATTTGAGATTTTCATCAAAATGCCAAACTAAAACTAACTAGATTACTAGAGTGAGAATAGAGATCTAGGCCTTGTAAATACATTGTTAATTAATATTAACGAGCCAACCCGCGGCATATCATACACCGCTATTTAGTTGTTTTAACAGATTTTATAAAATTTTCATTTTTGTTTCCCACTAGATTTGACTAGATCTAGTTTCATTTTTTACAGAGATTATAATATAGAGCAAATTACACTGTCCGGACACACACCGCGAAAAAACGCAACTTAAAACTTCCATGCGGTCTCATTCAGTAACCGCTTAACATAGGAAGGAAAAAAAAGTATCATATCTATCCGCAATCATTCTACTTTAATAATGTGTGTGTCATTTTGTATTCATACGCATAGAACTTTAGCTATTCTTGTTATAGTGACTGGGGGGTCTTAACATGTGTTCGGACACATGTAATACAATTTCAAATGTGTTCGGACACCTTTACCCGTCATCGGACATAGCACTTTTTGTTCATTTAGAATAATTTAAAGTCAATTTAATGAATAAAAACATATATTATATGCATTTATATTGTGTTATTGATTGTTTGTGAGGTAATTTTAATAGTATAAAACCTTTTTCCCACACTCCCAAAGTTCATCCCATTCAGCCATTGCGGCTCGCGCAGTACGCTGCTAAGCCAGCCAGGTCACATGATTCCCCCTCCTCTTTCGCATTCCACTGCCTTCTTGACCTTATTTTGACCCTTTCCCTTCAATAACCAGCCCCTTTTATGCTCTAAATTCTTATTTAATAATATTTTTGTGTTGCTGTCCGGTCCCATGTAAGGTCAAAAAAGTTAGCGAACACCCCTTTTTTATTGTTCAAGCACAAAATAACCCATTAACCTTGACATTTACGATGTTCCATACATATATAGAAGCTATTTATAGTGTAACCTTTTAGCTAAGCGTTGATTGGTTCAAGTTTTGCCCCTAAGTCCAACCCTAGGTCACTTCATCCGGCTGGTGTAAAAATAGAAATGTGCGTACCATGCAACGTTAAAAATTTTCTAAAAATAATTCTTGAGAGAGGAAACGGAAGTACTGGACACGGAAGTGTTCATAAATGAACAGTTTACGTGCAGGCGCCGTGGTTTCGCATGAGACATGCTAATTAAAGTTTCTATGAGCCAAAAACCGACGAAGTGTTCGGTCCCACGTAGTGTTCGGACAATGTAATTTGCTCTAGATCTAGATCTATAAGACCATTTTAAACAGAAAAAAAATGTATTTCTCCTCTTCTATTGAAGCTAGAAATATAAATTAAAATTTGGTACCAATGGAATTCTTAATCCTTCTTCTTATGATTTTAAGATAAAATACTCAAAAATTCATTTTGAATGCTATACTATACCTAGACTATATTATATTAAATATTAAAGCCTTGACAATGAGGTAACTTTTTCGTACATTCATTACTTTTCATTACTATCATCATTACTAGATCTAGATCTAGCCGCGGGCGATTTTAGATCATTTTACGTACCTAAACTTTTACTAAAGCCTAAACGACCTAAACCTAACCTAAATAAAACTATGACTACATACTAAAACGATAGAGACTAGAGATTACCACAAATTCACCTGGCAATCAACTTCGAATTAAAATAATAATCTAGAATCTACATCTAGAGTATAGACTAGATTCTAATAGTTGTCTAGATTAGCCTAGATTTAGATCTAGATTTCTAGTTGAAAAACCCGTCCTGAAGTTCAATTAATCAAATGGTTAGATAGACCCTACTAGAATCTCTAGAGCTAGATCTAGAGATCTGTACTCAAGTTAATCTAGATTCTAGTTCTAGGTTATATTTCATATTTATATTATAGGCCAACAGTACACACACTTTAATTTGTTTCTCTTAACTGAGCGCTTATATATATTTTGCTTGTATTTCTAATTATAGTTTGGGGTGGGACAGGTGCCCTTCCTGGTCAAACTAAAAGAAACAAAAAGTGGTTTTGATAATTATTGTCGTTGAAAATAGTGTTGGATCGGCTAACTAGCTATGAGATTGTTAATTTAAAAATTAAAATGTAAACTTAGTAAGAGGCGTCGCGAGGGGGTGGGGGGGGGGGGGGGGGGGTGATGACGGCATCTGGTAAGACTAAACTTTAAAGTGGTGACTCCAAAGCAAAAAGTTCAATAATTTATAGATCTAGAAGAAAATATTTTAATAATGTTACATTTACATCCAGCTTCTTTAAAACTTTAATATTTTGAGGCCGGTGCTCTGAGCGTGGGTTTCGGTAGCCCTTTGATGCGAATATAGATATTTTTTAAAAAAATTACGGTAAAAAAAAAATTGAGAGCCAACACTCTCACGAAAGTCCACCCATGTGCAGACACTGAAGGAAAAGTAGATATTTTCCATACACATTCTATCTAGTTCGGGGGTGGGGGGTTGGGCGAAGCCCCCAAAGATGCCTGAAAGAAACTCTGGTCGCAGCGGCTGATTATGCGAAAGGCAAAGTGGCGGATTATAAGAGAGATGTAGTGGCGGATTATAAGAGAGACATAGTTTGACTGATTATAATATGGGAAAGGCCAAGTGGCGGATTATAAGAGAGACGTAGTGGCGGATTAAAATCGAGATGTGGTGAGTACTGGCGGATTATAAGAGAGACATAGTATCGTTTTAGGTACGTAAAATCGGCCGAGGCTAGTAATGTGAAAAAAAGTTGATTCCGCAGGTATGACTCATTATCTTCTCGCAGTTTACCGCCTCGCCATTTCGCTTTTCGCAATTTCCCAACACCCGCACCCGATTTACAGTTGTATTAGATGCATACTTCAAAGACGTTTCGTTTACATTACTAAAACTTCAGATTTTTCCGTCACTAGTGTGATGGATTGGAATCACTGACGAGAAGCCACATTGATTGTTAACAGTAGTTTATTCACACCATGAGGAAAGAGAGAGAGCGGAAGTCACGAGACACTTATATACATAACATGTAAGGGACATCACTCAAGATAACAATATAAATATAATACTAATACAGAAGAGTGAGTTCCCTTGACTTCACAAGTCTCACTATATTACATCCCTTTACCCTTAGTAAACACAACACATCTCTCAATAGAACAAATTACAGTATCCTAAAATCACCAATTATATTGTAACATGAACACTATGGTAGATTACATCCTTACAAACAATGCACAATATGTTACAACATAATTAAAATACAAACAATGATGTCAAAGTCCTTTTGACCTTTAAAATCATAGGTCTAACTTATTTGGGACTTTGATTGTCCTGTTTGACCTTCTCAGTGGCCTTTGATTTGGTGACTCAATATTCTGACCATTTGGATTCTCTATCTCAGGAGGTCTAGGATTTAAATCATTAACTCCAGAATTTACATTTTCTGACTCTAGACAACTTGGTTCACTCATATCAACAGAACTTGGTTGTGGAACAAACTGAGTTGGTGTGAACTGTTCAGATTTGGTGGGATTGACAGATTCACACTTATTATCTGCACAAGTTATTTTTAACTGGTCTGCATGTCTACGGACAATAAGTCCATCATTTGTTTTTACTTTATAAGACACAGGTCCTGTACATTGAACAATTTGACCTGGTATCCATTTTTCCTTTCTCCCATAATTTCTTAGATACACATTATCATTAACTCCAAATTCTCTTTCAATGCATGTTTTGTCATGATTTAATGGAACTATTTTTGAATTGGCATCTGGAAGTATTATGCTGTTATTCAGATCCTTGACTGACATAGATTTCTTTGATTGATCAATTTTCTCAGGTAATCTGATAGTGCTTTTTGGTAACCAAAAATACTGTTTAAAAGTAATATCCTGGACCATATCAATTTGCAACTGTGATCCAGTATTTGAAGTGGGTGTATTAAATGGCAAAAATCTTTTTTTCTTTTCTTTTGATGTTACCCTTTTAGTTTCTGTAAGTGCTAATGATGTTAGCAAAGTTGTTTGATGATCACATTCCTTCTTACTAATGTATTCTCTTTAAAAGCATTTGAAATTGCCATATCACCATAATCATTTATTAAGTTACAAATACTTTGTTTAGGCAACTCTGACTGATAATGGACTGCATCTTCTCTATCTTTTAGACTTAACTCTGTTTTTCTTATTTTATATGGCTTTAAGTCATCATTCACTGACTCTTCAGGCCAACCATTCTTACAGTACTCATATACTTTTATTAAGCACTCATCTTTTTGTGTTTCTCTTTTAATATCATTCACATTTATATTGGAGTTATCCATGATAGTGAAGAGAACAAATACATCTTCTGGTACATAGCTAAGGCTTTGGTTTTTTAAAGGTAATCTACTAAGACTATCTGCACTATTCTCAGATCCAGGTTTGTATTTCAATTCATAATTGTATGCAGTTAGTGTGATAGCCCATCTTTGAATTCTTGGTGAGGCATGCTCAGGTAGGGTTTTGTTTTCTCCAAATAAACCTAGCAATGGTTTATGATCTGTAAAGATGGTGAACTTCCTACCAAACAGAAACTTATGAAATTTCTTAACACCAAAAATGATGCCTAAGCCTTCCCTATCTAATCGAGAATAATTTTTCTCAGCCTGGTTCAAAGATCTACTGGCAAAAGCAATGGGTCTGTCACCCTTCTCATCCATGTGGGACAAGACTGCTCCTACACCATCTGGTGAAGCATCACATGTTAATATAAGTCTTTTCCCTGGGTCATAGTGAGTTAGTAAGGTGTCAGAAGACAAAGCCTCTTTTGCTGTATTAAAAGCAGTATCTTGTTGTTTACCCCAGTGCCAAGTTGCATTTTTCTGTAGCAGCTTGTACAGTGGTGATAGTTTACCAGACAGATTCCCTATGAACTTTGCATAGTAATTTATCAAGCCCAAAAAAGCTCTTAGTTGTTGGGTATTTTCAGGTTTGGGTGCTTCTTTAATGGCTTTTGTTTTCTCAGGTTGAGGTCTGATGCCTTGTTTGCTCAATATATAACCAAGAAAACTAATTTCTGTCAACATGAATTGACATTTATCTTTGTTTATCTTTAAACCTTTTTCACCAACTACTTTCAATACTTTATCAAGTGTTTTAAGATGTTCAGTGTCATTCTTACCAGTTATGTACACATTGTCAAAGTAAACACAAACATTTGGAATATCCTTAAAAATACTGTCCATGACAGCTTGGAAAATTCCAGGGCTGGATGATATACCAAAACATAGTCTTTCATATTGGTAGAGTCCTTTATGTGTGTTTATTGTCATATAGACTTTTGAATCTGGATGCAGTTCTAGTTGAGTGTAAGCATGACTAAAGTCTAATTCAGTGAATTTGTCTCCTCCTGCCAAATTCAAAGAAATTTCCTCAATGTTAGGAATAGGGTACCTATTTAGCTCTATTTTCTTATTCAGTGTAGTTTTATAGTCTCCACAAATTCTTATAGAACCATCCTTCTTTAACACTGGCACAATGGGCGTTGCCCAATCGGAATAGTCTACCTTCTTTATGATGCCATTAGATTCCAATCTACTTAGCTCATTTTCAATTTTATTCCTCATTGCATAAGGTGGAACTCTAGCTTTGCAGTATCTTGGATTTGTGTCTTTAATGCTTATCTTCACTGTTCTATCATTTAGTAAACCTGAATTGCCAAAAACACTTTTATTTTCAGATATTACTTTATCTATTGAAGTAAGACTAGATTCTTTTACATTGTTCAATGAACATATACTCTCCCAATTTAACTTAAGATCACTTAACCAGTTCCTACCTAGTAATGGTGGTCCATTTCCTTCAACCACAAGAAGAGGAAGTTTAACACTTTGACCATTATAACTTACATGAACCATACACTCTCCTATTACCGGAACATTGTCACCAGTGTATGCTGTTAGACACTTGTGACATGGTTGTAGAGACACTGATCCTCCTGTGACAGCGTCAAAGTCCTTCTTTGTGATGACTGTTAGAGATGCTCCAGTGTCAAGTTGGAAGCTGATGCTCTTACCGTTGATATAAACTAGTACACTGATGGGAGCATGACTTATTGATTTCACAGAGAACAGGTTGAAATCCGGCTGCGAATCAGTTTGAGCATTTTCACAGGTAGAGTGGTTCATTGGTTGGGTTAGGTAGTCTTGGTGAGAGTTAACATAGTGCTGCCTTTGGTTGCGGTACTGTCTTGACTGGCTAGATTTAGCAACAGACGAAGACTTTGCAAAGCAGGCCTTGGCAATGTGACCTTGCTTACTGCACTTATAACAAGTTGCAGACTTGAACTTGCACCGATGAGATGCATGGGGACCTTTGCATCGATGACATTTTTGATAATTATTACTAGATTTAGATCTAGGCTTTAAACGTGCAGGCTGTTTAGCATAAGTTGAAATGCTCTGATGGGGTTGGTGTTTGTTGACTAACCTGCTGTTTACTGCATGGATCTCTGAAGGTGCTAGAGATCTCGCCGCATCTGATGACTGCTGGAATGAAGTTGCAAGTTGTATTGCTTTTTCCAATGTTAGATCTGACTCGAGCAGCAACTTTCTTTGAATATCAGGGCTGTTTACACCTGTCACAAACTTTTCACATAGTCTGTCAGACAGCGTTTCTCCAAATTCACAGAATCTACTTAAATGACGTAAAGCAGCAACATATTCTGATATTGACTCGTTTGGTTGACGAGTCCTACTGTCAAATCTAGCTCGACATAGAAACTTTGATGGGGTAGGCGCATGGTGGTCTGTTAGCAATTTGCTCAGCTCGTTAAAGCTCTTGGTAGTTAGACTAGCTGGTGCGCATAAGTCTTTTAGTAGCCTAAATTGTTGAGGCCCTATGACTGTTAACAAAACAGCTCTCTTTTTGGCTTCTATCGTCACGTTGTTTGCTTCAAGGTAAAAGCTTAACCTATCTAGGTAATCATGAATGATTTCATCATTCGAATCAAATTCTTTTATTTGGCCATACAGCGCCATTATTCTAGAAATACTTAGCCAATATGCTCTAGCAAACCTCTTTTTTGCGTAAGTAGGTGCTCTTTCTAGTGGATTATTTATCTTCGTCGCCAATGTGATGTATTGGAATCACTGACGAGAAGCCACATTGATTGTTAACAGTAGTTTATTCACACCATGAGGAAGAGAGAGAGCGGAAGTCACGAGACACTTATATACATAACATGTAAGGGACATCGCTCAAGATAACAATATAAATATAATACTAATACAGAAGAGTGAGTTCCCTTGACTTCACAAGTCTCACTATATTACAACTAGACATACTGATGATTTGTCAACTTCCCCATCTTTTGTTTCGACTTAGAATACCACCTTGTTCGAAACCGCCCGAAATACCGCCGACGATAGTTCAATTTCTTTCTTTTGTGTGGAACACCGAGGTTGCCTGATTTATCGTCTTTGAAGATCTCCGTGCCCGAAGCCGCTGCAAACATATTTTGTATTGTTGCATAGAAATTTTATATTTGTAATTACTGTCATTACCGCCGGCTACCATTTTTTCACCGTATAAATATCAGTGCATTTGGATACATCTATTCTATAGGTAAGATCTATTAATTTATTACTTCATAGACAAATGTAGACCTAACTATGTGTTTTCTCTTTTAATGTTCCTTTACATTATTTTTTTTTAGATAGCACATCAAGGTTGCGACTAGATCTAAGTCAGAAAAAAAATTAAAAAAGAAAAGATTACTGCCCTCAGTGAAAGAGAGGACTAGATTAACCATCCCCTAAGTGTTGCTTATTCCTAAGCTTATATATGAACTCACAATCCCCCCCCCCCGGTTTTTTTTTTCACTTACTCGCTGTTTGGGAAAACAAGTTAATTAAAAAGTCTAGTGACATTTAAGCGCAATTTCCTTATGTTATCTAAAAATAGCTCTTTCGTAGCGTAAATCAAGAGCAGGGTTAGGAAAACCATTGGTTAGTTATTATAACGTTTTTTATTTTTAAAAAATTCAGTATTTTACATGTTTTATTTACAATAGAGTTACATGACTAAAAACCATTGCGCGCCTAGCTATATATACCGAACGTGATGGCGCAGCCATTGAACGTGATGGCGCAGCTATTGAACGTGATGACGCGTGTGGTGTGGTTGGATAAAAATACCTACTAATTCGGTCCAAATTTTAATTAATTAAAAAAAAAAATTGTGACCGAACGAAAGGATATTTTTGAAAACTTTCTTCGGCAATATTGTTCTAAATTATGACAGGAATCGATTGGTACATGTTTCAAGTCGCTAAGTGGTCTGGTTGCCGAGATATGGGCCAAAAACTGCATTTTTTCGAGGTTTTTTGGATTTTCCGGGAAATCCATGAAAAAAACCCGGAATTTTTTTGGCCTATGTTCATTCTCGTAACTTGCTTAACATAATTGCTTTGGAACTAGTCCTCGATATTGCTTCGTTGAGGAGGAGATACGACTTAAAGCTGCGGACACACATCCATTCATACATCCAGAAATGACGGGTTAATAAACGCAATTCTCCAGAATGGAAATTGCGCTAAAAACATTATCAGTTGCTCATGCTATGTAGTATTGTATGGGCCTACTTCTATTATTTTTTAAACAATTTTGAACTCATCTGAATTGTTTGGTTTGGGTGGTGGTGTTATTTTAGCTATTAAATGGTCATTTTGTCGATAGCGGACTTTATTCAGATTATCTGGAGACGCACTATTTTTTTCTCATTCTGTTCATATTCGAGTTTTGTGTCTCAGCGAACCAAAGTGAATCTTTTAATGCTTTAGTTAAAAGAATTCAAGACTGGAAGGAAGCACATGTCGGCGGTATGGTCTTGAGCCTCTTCAGGCTTGGCTAATTCTACGTAGGGGTCATCCATAAATGACGTCACGCTTTTTTTGACGATTTTTACCTCCCCCCTCCCCTCCGTCACACGTGGTCACAAAAAGCCAGACCCCCCCCTAAAATGACGTCACACCTCAGTCTACAACCCCCCCCCCCTCAAAATTGCGGTTGAATTTTTTGAAACATCGATATTTTTGTCTTAAATCTGTCGAAACAGAGTATTTTAATCAATTCCTACTACAATTTATTAAAAAAGTTTTCTAAAACGCGAAATAATAAGTGTGACGTCGCACCATTTGAACCCCCCCCCCTCCCCCACATCACACATCGTCACAAAAATTACCGCCCCCCCCCCCCTCCCCCCTCAGAGTGTAAAGTCATTTATGGACGACCCCATAACAGAAATTTACAGAGGACGAAGGCTTATGGGAAATTGGCTTCTCAAACACGATCTCGTTCCTCTATATAGTGAGGAGCACACCAGAATTCCGCCTGCTGTTAACCCAGATGACATAGTTGCAAGAATGGTAGTCTGTTTGCCCAGTGCAACTGTTGTCGAAAGGGCACAGCTATCAGAGGCGTAGAAACCCTTCCCGGCGCCCGACGAGCTTTCGATTTGCAGCCCCCCCCCCCCCCTCAAACTTTCGATTTGCAACCCCCCTCAAACTTTCAATTTGTTTTTCCAACCCATTTTGGCGCCCCTAAGGTCGGCGCCCGGGAACATATGTCCCCCCCCCCCCCCCTCGCTACGCCTCTGCTAATAACTTTAAATACTAAACTTGGAGTGTTCACCATTAAACGGTCAACAGATTTTTTAAATAGATAGATCTATATCTATCTTCTTAGTATCTATCGATTTATATAATTAAATCTAGATAAAAAATAACATATACAACACTCGTGCTTGTTTAGTTTTTAAAAATAAATAAATAAATAAGCATGAAATAAGCATGAGAAAAACTTTTTTTCGCAAAAGGTGTCTCGTATGTCTCGCATTATCTTCTCGCAGTTTACCGCCTCGCCATTACGCTTTTCGCAATTTTCCAACATCCATAGGTTACATTTTACGCGGTGTTACAGATGCTGCTGCCTTTAATCACCTTTATGGATGTTATGGTTTGAAATTGGCAATTAGAATTTCAGTCTATACACCATGGTAGACGAAGCAACAAAATCAACTTTAGCCAAAATTCCTCTGTTAAAAACCAAAGCAGGACCACGAGATGGTGATTTGTGGATACCAAGACTCAAAGAAGAATACCAAGCATTAATACAGGTTACATGTATGGCTTTGTATGCTTATTTAATTTCTTGATAATTCCTTATTAAATTCAATAGGCCTACGACTATAGTTACACTAAAAAATAGTAGGCTATAAAATAAAAATACTAAATAGTCAATCATGGAGTCTAGTCTAGTCTAGATCTATATAATATTAACTTATTAATTTAATATTAAGTATAATTTAGTATATTAGTATGTATATAAACTAAAAACTTAGTATAAAGTATGGCTGCTACTCTGATTGATTGTAATATAGTAAATATACTCAGTGGCGGAACTAGAAAAAAAGGGCTCCCCCGCAAAAACAAAATAAGGGCCCCCTATATATATATATATATATATGTATATATATATATATATATATATATATATATATATATATTTATGTATTTATATATATATAAAATCTATATCCTAACTGAGTAATGTAGTCTACTTCATTGCAATATATAACCATTCTGAGAGAACAAATCAGACAAATTTAGTCCAAACTCATCTTGGGTTCGAAATAATCATGACCACTACTAAAATGCTGCTCAAATATATATAAAGACTTAAGCTTTATTCGTGAATGGTTTCTCGCGTTATGTTTTTTTTTTTTTCATTTTTGGCTTTTATAATATCAATTTTGAAAAAAATTGATTTTTATAGCTATACCATTGTTTATTACGTCTTATTTAAATAACAATTCAGAGAATCAATTGCTTTTAATATACATAGTACAAAACTATTTAAATGAGCTTCGTGGGCATACCTATTTTAAAGAAGGACAGTAAGTCATGGAAGTAGTGTGAATGTTTGCCTACCTTTCAAACTATAGCTCTTGTAGATTTTAAAATATTTTTCTACGCAACGATCTCTGCTATAGTAGACCTGTTTTTGTTTTTACAAAACCACTTTCAAGATGCATGAAAAACATAATTTTTGAAAACAAAATTCATTGTTTTTTGGTCGGAACTGGGCCCCTAAACGTCCTGGGCCCCCCCGCATTGCGGGGTCTGGCGGTATGGTAGTTCCGCCCCTGAATATACTAGATCTAGATCTAGGTTAGAGAGTGCACCATAGATCTATTCTAGATCTATATGCCATATGGAGAATGAGTACAGTCACTACAGACTAGAATAGATTGATAGATATTAGATAGTGACTTAGGCCTAGTAGAAAAATAGAGTTAGATAGGCCTAATCTCTAGAAGTTAGTACTTTAGCCCTCAGTTCCTTCCAAGAAATTAGAATCTCTGCCCTGGAGAAAAAAAGTGGGGTAAAAAAGGTGGAAGAAACACTGGTAGCCAAATCAAATTACTATTTTTATTATATTTTTGAAGCCACAGCAAGCCTCTAGGCTACTCTAGTTGTAGTGGGGTTAGACTTTTTAACTAGCTATGCACGAGAGCTCAGAAAAACAGTATTCAAAAGTCCACCCAATAGACAGAAGTCAGAAGTAGTTTAATTGGTAAACGGAAAAAAAGTCACAGGAAAAAAAAAACACAGAAAAAAAGTCAGTTTTTGCTAGGAAAAAAGTCACAGAAAAAAAGTCACAGTGGAAAAATTTTATCGGAAAAAAAGTCACAGAAATAAAGTCACAGAAAAAAAGTCACAAAAATCTTTTTAGAAATATTTTTATTAATTTGTTAAGAATTGTAAAATGTTGTATGTTTATTGTTGTGGGTTGTATTTTTTGATAGCATAAATTATTTATAGACGTTAAAAGCATTATGATTTATAACAATTATAACAATTGTAAGTAAAAATACTCTAAGATAATTTACACAACAAACTTTTGTTATGTATTTAGTTAAATACGTGGTAGAAAAGTTAATTATAAAAGAAATTTAGGCAAATTTTGCCGTAGACTATTCTCTGGTCGGCCTCTCCTCAGTAGGCATTGTCCGAACATATTTTGTGTTGTTGACGTTATGCGTCAATGACAGCCTTTGAACCTTGTCGGCTTTCTGTTTTGATCCTAAGTTTTGTTATGTAATGAGCGTGATAAATGTGGGCAGTAAAGGTGGTTGAACTAAACATAACTATTGTTGCGATGAGTTGAGGGCAGCAAGTCAGATGAAATTACCATTTCACGGTAATTTAATGTTGGTATTTTTAAAAAAACACGATGAAAAACGTGGACTTAGGAGAATTTTATTAAATGCTACTAATCTTAAGTTTAACATAATTACAATCTACATACTTCATAATAAATATTTTTAGATGAATTATAAAAATTCCTATGCGTATACAGCCTACACACATCACATTACATTTAATTAATCCTAAGTTAATTTGCACTCTCTAAATATTTAATACATAAAAGTATTAACAAATATCATGCAAATATATATTTGTGACTTTTTTTCCTGTGACCTTTTTTCCTGTGACTTTTTTTCCTGTGACTTTTTTTCTGTGTTTTTTTTCCTGTGTTTTTTTTTTTCCTGTGACTTTTTTTCCTACAATCGTTTAATTATCGACAATTTTCAGGCACAGTAAAAATTGGAACATCAGATTCATTCTACTGTTTTCTTTGTTTCCTTTACTTCAATGGTAGGCTTTGCAATTATTTTGCAGTACCTGTTTAAAAAGCTAAAAATATTCTTACATGATACTATTCTGACATTTTATTTTTGGATATTTTAATAGATCTATATAATATAGGGTTGTTGTTCACCAGGAGAGTGAAAGTAAGTAACTTTAGTAACAAGCTTTTTCTGTATAATGATTTTACTCTGATTGATTAACAAACATTGTAATTGATGAACGGCAGGTGATGCGTAAGTTAAATTTTAAAATCAAGTAAAACTAAAATGAGTACAGGTTGCTGCTTTGAACATAGCTTAGTGTATTGTTATTTTGTTTTTGTTTATTAAATTTAAAACACGTATGTTTCAGTTATCATTTAAATTTAGACGTGGCTATAAAAAATAGCCGGAGCAAAACCAAGCTGATAACGGGTGTATTCTATGGGTGTAGGACAAAAGGCAGACAGACCATAAGGCAGACAAACATATAGATACTAATATCGCAAAATGTGTTACTGCATAGCTCCTATCTAGACAACCATTGAAATAAGGCATGAAATAAGGTTTCAAGAGAAAAGACGATGCTAGTTGCTATCCTTATAAGGTGAAACATCTGGAAGTGTCTTAAACACAAAGTATCAACACCTAAATATTGCAAAATGCGGTCACTACTGTCTTTCATAGCTCCTTCTATGTCAATGAGGTGAGACAACCATCAAAAGCCGCCAGCTTCACCGCCCACGCGCAACAAGGCGGGAGTATACAAATGATGAACAGTTGGTGTTACCACCATATTTCGCAAAATGAATGAAAGAAAGTAGACTGATCACGTGGTGAAGAGGTTTGACTGGACATATGTTTGTGGTCGTGTGAGGTAGTTAAATACAAGAGAGGTGAGGGTTCCACCGCTTTTTCCGCCAGAGTTCTGGTCTGTATATGACAATTATCTAAATGGGATACCAAGGACCCAACTCACAGTTGAAGGGTGGCACAGGAGGTGGTAGGTAATCGTCAAAAAAGAACACCTTGGAGTCTTTTGTTTGCTTAAAAAAAACAAGAACAAGAAAGAGTGGAAGTTGAGATGGAGGCAATATTGCTTGGTGAGTCATCAAAAAAAAGAAAAATACAATATTTACAGAAAGATGACAGGATAGCAAATGTCATTGCAGAATGTGACAACAGAAGTAGACTTGAACTTCTACATGGCATAGCATAAAAATTATCAAACAATGCCCTATTTTTCTATATTGTACTATAACTTCATCATTAACTGGTTTTTAATCAAATTAAACATGTCTGTAATTGTAATTTGTTTTATAAAGTCTGTAATTGTAATTTGTTTTATAAAACGTCTGCCTTTTGTCTTGTCGGCCTTTAGGATGTCTGTCTTTTGTCCTAGACAACAACTAGAGTAAGCTGTGACATTTGTGAGGAATGCTATCTAGATATTCTGTGGAAGTGGAAGGTATTACACTTGAGTTTTTGAGTATTGAACCTCAAAACCATTAGTGTTAGGTTAGAGGGAACTAAAAGTAAATTCTTTCCTGATACCTTAACATTTTTAGCATTCTAATGATAAGTTCTTTTGTATACATTTGTTTATATATTTCAATTTGTTGGTAGAAAACAGGTTTTTGCTATGACCAATTGATGCAGCAGTGAATATTTTCTAATTGTTTATCTATCTATCTATCTATATACTACTAAAACTCAAGTTTGTTTACATGAATATTTATTTGTCTGATTGACTATTGTAAATGGTTCTACTCTATGTGGAGAGCTGTAAAATAGTTTGTAGGTAGAGAATAATTTTTGATTGCAGACAGACTGTTAATCACACATTTATTTAAAGACGTTAATTAATTTATTGATTTATTCATAGGTAGATTAACCACTTTAAAATTAAAGTTTTAGAACAATGGCTAAACTTTGACTGAATAGTGACGTTTGATAACTCATGTTTTTGTTTGTTTGTTTTTTTTATTTGTTATTGGGGAGAATCTGCATTATGTGTAGAGCTGTAAAATAGGATTTTGGGTGGTAAATATTGTTCCTTCTTAAACACACTGTTAATTACAAAATAATGTAAAGCTGTTAATTAATTTATTGATTTATTCATAGGTAGATTAACCACATTTATTTTAAAGTTTTAGAACAATGGCTTTTTTGGCTGAATAGTGACGTCACAAGTTTTGTTTACTTTTTAGTACAATAACATGGCGGCTTCCATCATAGACTTTGTGGCCAATTCCAAAGTTTAACGCGTTCTAAAGCTAATTTTCTGTCGGTCATAACTTTAACAATACGTCCGTTTGCTGTATTTATTACGTTCCAACACTTATATAAATTTGTTTCATTTAGTTTTACAATAAATTTCTCTTGCTTTACAATTTGTCCAAGAAAGTTATTTATAGATCTAGATCTAGAATGTAGGTAAAAAAAAAGATTTATTAGTTATAAATACAATCGAAAAAAAAAAAAACTTTACTCGATTTAAGCAAACCAGTCGTAGATCTAGAATATAGATAATTCTATCTAGATTTATATAATAATGAGTTTCTATATATTAAACTATTTAGACCTTTATTATTTTATATAAATCTTTGTTTGGAATATGCTAATTTAGAAATGCTCCACCCAGGGCCTATTTGCGTAGCTTAAGATTCATTATCGGCTTCTATACCGCTAATTTGGCAAAATTATAAACGTAAATTCTAGATACAGCTCAGTTGTAGATCTAAAATATAGATAATTCTATCTAGATTTAGATAATAATGAGTTTCTATATACTAAAGTATTTTAGACCTTTATTATTTTATATAAATCTTTGTTTGGAATATGCTAATTTTGAAATGCTCGATCCAGGGCCTATTACTGTTAGCGTAGCTAATGATAAGATCTAGATTCTAGATCTAGCAAGAGTTACGCAAAAACTACACTTAAGACTTAAGTAAACGAGTCGTAGAATCTAGATCTAGATAATTCTATCTAGATCTAGATAATTTCAAACCTTCATTATTTTATATAAATCTTTGGCTAATTTAAGATAAAATTTAATTTGAAAGTTATTACTACGGCCTACTAGACTTAGATCTAGATCTATGCGCGTAAATCAAGTTGCATAAGGAGACTTAAAGTATTAAAGTATAGTATAAAAATACATCTGTGACGTATGAGTTAAATAGCTAAGTTGTTAGTGTAATCGGCTTGCATGCGAATGGCACGGGCTCTAGACCAATACGCTAATGATAATTTTTTTTTCAATTTTATTTTATTTTTTAGATGTGAATGATAAAGTTGTATATCTGAACTTGGCGGGATACAGGGCAGGTGAAGTAGAGTTCATCTGTTTCTTTGTCCTAAGCATATGAAGGGATAGTGTTGTCAGAGACATGCCCAGCTGGAATTGGTTTTTTTTAAACGATAAAAACATATTGTCTCAGACTTGGCGGGACACTGGGCAGGTGAAGTAGAGTTGAGTAAGTCACCTGTGACGTAAGTATATGAATGGATAGCAAGGGGGGGGGGGCGACATATGACCCCGGGCACCGACCTTATGGGGCGCCAAAATGGGTTGGAAAAATAAATTGAAAGGTTGAGGGGGGTGGACATCAAAATTTTGAGGGGGGGGATTTCAAATAGAAAAGTTTGTCCCCGGGCGCAGGGAAGGGTCGCTATGCCTCTGAGTGACAGACGTGATGTTTTTTTATGGATGACCCCCGAAACCCACAGTTATCCGACGGATGACGGGTAGTCTAGTATATACTACTAAAACTCAAGTTTGTTTACATGTTTGAATATTTATTTGTTTGTCTGATTTGGTAATGTAAGGAAACTGCTCTATATGGGGGGCTGTAAAATAGTATGTAGGTAGAGAACAATTTTTGATTGCAGACAGACTGTTAATCACACATTTATTTAAAGATGTTAATTAATGTATTGATTTATTCGTAGGTAGATTAACCACTTTAAAATTAAAGTTTTAGAACAATGGCTTAACTTTGACTTAATAGTGACGTTTGATAACTCATTTTTTTTTTGTTTTTTTTTTAAATTTTATTTGTTATTGGGGAGAATCTGCATTATGTGTAGAGCTGTAAAATAGAATTTTGGTTGATAAATATTGTTTTTTCTTAAACACGCTGTTAATTACAAACTAATTTAAAGCCATTAATTAATGTATTGATATATTCATAGGTAGATTAACCACATTAATTATAAAAGTTTAGAACAATAACTTTAGTAATAGTAACTTATTTTCCTTTTACAACAATGTTTTCAATTATTTTTCTCTTAAGGCCTACATGTGAATGATAAGGTTCACAATCAGGACCTGGGGCACAGGGCAGGTGAAGTAGAGTTCACCTGTTTCTATGTTCTCAGCATATGAAGGGATAGTGTGGTCAGAGCCATGCTCGACCGGAATCGTTTTTTTTTAAATTTAAAATTTAAACATGTCTGAGACTTGGCGGGACTCTGGGCAGGTGAAGTAGAGTTTAATAGTTTTTAAAATAAAAAAAACCGTCTTTTTGAATGTGGGGTCTGGTTATTTTGGGATGATAAGCGCTGACAGACGTGATGTCATTTATGGATGACCCCCGAAACCCACAGTTATCTAACTAGATAACGGGTAGTCTAGTTAAATATTTAAAAATAGTGTGTGGTGTATTTAGAATCTGTTTATATAAACTTTATGGTGAGGTTTTTGTCATACTTTACTAAAGATTGAATGTATTTGATGTTTTTAGTATATTCAGTAACCAAACAAAATTTAAAAAAATCAAAAGCAGTTGTTTTTTTTTAAATTTGATCACTTTTCTGGTCAGTAAAGCTCATGGCTGCTAAGCAGAAAGGTTCTGAGTTCAAACCCCTTAGCAGATGAGGCCCGATAGCTGGGGACAGTAAAGCGTCATGGAGAGAAAACTCTTAAATAAAAAAATTGCTGCCTTGTAGTTTATTCTTGGTTGGACAAATGCTCTGGAAGCAAATCCAGAAAGAATAGCAGGCAGAAATTGAAGTCAGCGGCCTATATGGTGTATAACATTTATCATGAATTGTGCAGGAGGAAACCCCTTCAGATAGTTACAATTAAGAACAAAAAAGAAATCACTGAAACTTTAAATAAACTTGGCATAACTCTGCCATGTGGTTAAAAAAAACTATAATTTTATTGAATGTATGTCTTACTTAATAATAATTAGCTATTAATTAATGCTGGACTAAATGGTAAGATGTCTTGCAAAATTTTAAATCAATAAATTTTTGATTTCACCTTAGAGTATTTCTATTACTAGTAATTAATACACCAATGTACTTGCCAAAAATAATTAGGGACTGGAACGATTCATTTTAAAAAGCCTTTATAACTCATGTAATGGTCGAAGGTATCTGGAAAAAATGTGAATGACCAGCCGACCTAGTAGTAGTTAAGTTATGGCTTCTGGACCTCATCTCAATACTTTTTATGTTTTAATATTTAAGGGAACTAATTAATTTTTTAAATTATAGTCCTATCATTATAATGTAAAATGTGTGTAATTAAAGAATTAATGCCAAACATAATGGTTTTTTTTTATTTCACTCATTTTTGGTACCTGTGTCTTTTTTTTTGCAAAGTGCCAAAATAAATTTTTGTTAAATTCTTTGTATATTTGTGAGTTATATAATGTTCATATTTCTGAACTTAAGAGGAATCTTTATCGATTATAAATCTTAATTTAATAATTAAAATGCCCTAATGTATTAATGCATAAGCATTAAAACATTACTATTAATGGTTATTTTATTGAAGTAGGCCCCTACAATATAATTTATACAAATTAAATTATCAAAGAATTACATTGTTCTGTTAATTATTACTTACATTTAGCCAAGTGACATCTAGTTATGTCAGTTACTACATTTGGCCAGTGCGTTATTTTAAAAGAAAAAAGTCTTTGTTGAAAAGTTTCAAACTTCAACAGTAAATTTTGATTATTATAATATCAGTTTAAGAAAAAATGAACAATTAGTTGCAAGCTCAGAAGTTATGCCTTTTTTCCTGTCCAGTCAGTTCTGTTTCCAATATAATTTTTGATTGCTGTTTTACAAATATTCATCTAAATCTTTTGCTTAAAGTTATAATGCAGACTACAATCAAAATTATGTACAGTTGAATTAAAATTAAGTATGTTTTCATTCAAAATAGGTGCAAATGATATTTTTATCTGAAAGTTGGTTACAGTTAGTCTAAAATTTGAACTATTTTTTAAAATTTACATAATTTTAAGAGTACATTAGGACAACTTTGTTCATCATAAACAAAGAATATGGTGTATAAAAAAGCAGATATCAATATATTATGATGTTTTGGTTCTTCTTTAGAAATGTTTATAGATAATATCAATTGGAACTGTTAATTTATAATTTTGCATTTATATTTTCTCTTTTCTGATTTAACAAAAATTACCCATTCTAATCCATAACTTGAATTAAATTTTCAGTATGTACAAAACAACAAAGAAAGTGATAATGACTGGTTTAGGCTGGAGTCCAATAAAGAAGGAACTAGGTGGTTTGGCAAATGCTGGTACATTCATGAGTTACTCAAATATGAATTCGACATTGAATTTGATGTAAGTTAATTTAGTCATATTCTAGCTTTCTCAGACTTTCTGTCATTCAATGCACTGACGAGCATCAATCAACGAGTGAATCAACAAGTTATAAAGTTGTCATGAATGCTTTCGTAATCATGTATTTTAGAAATGTGATCTTGTTATTCAAACATTAACATAGCCGGAGCTATATTTCTTGGATCTTAATTACAATGGCACAGCTTTTTCTACTATATTGCCCAGATGTCCCAGGGTACTGTATGAAAGCCTTGAGTGTACGTTAGTCACCCTGCATGATAGTGAGGTAAAAAAAATTCCTTGGCAACGAGCCAGGTGTCAGAGCCATCGTTGGGCATTATAAGTTGTTTTCCCATGTCATGACCCACTGTGTCCCTAAAGTAGGATGCTATTTTAAAAAATAAATGTAGGCACTGTAAAGTTTTGGACACTGAATACCAAATATCAAGTAGTACCCCTGATCCCAGCTGAGGACGCTCAGTTAATGGGTCCCAGGGGGCAAGATAGCCGCTGGGGAACACTTGACCCCAAACCACACCCTACTACCAGGACACGGCCCCTGAAAAAATTAAATTTTGTTAAAGGAGAAACTTTTTCTAGAGTATTCTCAACAACATCCCTAAGTTTCATGGCAGTGGGATATATGTGAAGTAATACATAAAAGATGGATGCTCAAAGAAACATATTTTTATATAGTATAGATAAGTAAGGTAATTTAATCCAATAAACAATCCCACACTCATTATCTTAATTTCCCTATTTTCTGTAAATCAAATCAGCAATCAACTGTCTCATCAAAATCTATCTAATCTATGCTTAGTCCAATCGCAGCTGTCATCAGCATAGATCAGTATATAAGCCTAAGCCCCTTACCTATTGCTCTGGTCTGAAGTATTGATGGTATTCTCTTTCTGTAAGTGATGTATGCTTTTTTTCTTGATCTGTTTGTGAAAAGAAATGCTGTTAAATTAGCTGAGATCTTGAGATCCCTTTGTTTTTCCTTTGTTTCATTATCTCCAATTTGTAAATATCTGCGATGTTGTCAGGCCCTTTTTGTCTTTCTTTAGTCTGTCCCCATGTAGTGTCATTTGTAGGTGAATATTTCTGGACAACTTTAAACTTCATCATATTCTACTTTGTACAAAAAGATACTTTGTTGATTGTATGGTCATAACGATATACTTACCTATTTTCAAATATAATGGATGGAACTTTCTGTAACAGTATGAATTCCCAATCATTAAGAAATCCATATATTTTAAGATTTTATTTGAGGGTTATCTCAATTATTGCATATTAATTTTTTATGAATTATTTCAACAGATTCCAGTGACATACCCTACAACTTCTCCTGAAATAGCTATTCCAGAGCTAGATGGAAAAACTGCAAAAATGTACAGGTAAGATAATTTGAAAATTGTTTTGGACAGCTAGTTAAGCAATACCTACATTATTAAATGGATGAATAAACAAACCTCTGTAACAGGTTTAGTTTTAAGCTGCTTGCATAGAAAAAAGAGCAAAGTTTGTATTGCACTTTTATTTCTAATAATTTTAGATATTTTTAACGCAATTTCCATACTGGGATTGCGATTATTAACTTGTCATTTCTGGATGGATGTGTGTCCGCAGCCTTTAAGTCGTATCTCCTCCTCAACGAAGCAATATCGAGGACTAGTTCCAAAAGCAAATATGTTAAGTTCCTAGGATGAACATAGGCCAAAAAAATTCCCGGAATTCCTTCCTGGATTTCCCGGAAAAGCCAAAAAACCTCGAACAAATGCAGTTTTTGCTCCATATCTCGGCAACCAGACCACTTAGCCACTTGAAACATTTACCAATCGATTCCTGCCATAATTTAGAACAATATTGCCGAAGAAAGTTTTCAAAAATATCCTTTCGTTTGGTCACAAAAAATTTTTTTAAATTATTTAAACTGAGCATCGTGTAGGCCTAGGATGATATTTTAAACTGAGCATCGTGTAGGCCTACTCATTAAAATAAAACTATTTCCGTTGATATTTTCTATTACCCCCTACACGTCCGCATATTTTTTAAAATCTCGTTAATAAATATTTTTTCTATTTTGTTTTGAATTATTAAAACTACTTGTGTTGCATTATTTATTTGCTGAATATATGATTTATCTCGATTTAATTTACTTATTAATTCAAACGTTATTTTTGTACCCTATTAATTTATTTATAATTTATATCAGAGTGATAGGGAGTTACAATTACAAGGTTTTGTTTCGCTAGGCCTAATAATTTTTTCACATTTTTTAAAAACAAACTTGATCAATTTTTAGATAACATAAGGAAATTGCGCTTAAATTGTCACTAGACTTTTTATTAACTTGTTTTTTAAAAAACAAGCTGCCACAACTTTTTTTTTTTCAAATTTTTCAGGGGAGGCAAAATCTGTCTAACAGATCATTTTAAACCTTTATGGGCACGTAATGTTCCTAGATTTGGTATTGCACATGCTATGGCCCTTGGGGTAAGTAGTACTTCTCCATTGGAAGATGACCTATCTAAAATATTTAAAAGTTAAATATTTAATTGATTTCTTTAATTTTAACATATCATTTATAGCTTGGACCATGGCTGGCTGTGGAGATACCTGATCTAATACAAAAGGGAGTTATAACACACAAAAGTATACTTCAAGATCAACCTGCTTTAAGTTGAACTTGGTGCATTTAAAAGATCCTACTCTTCTTTATTTGTCATAAAAAGGCATTTTAATAAAGTAAAGGTTACTGCTTTCTGGTCTCAATTGAATTCTTAGTTAGGTCTCATCCATTTCAGAGGCTAGCTGGGGGGGGGGGGGGGCAATTACTCATAAACAGTCAAAGTTAAGAAATTTAACGGCTACGAGCCTTTACATACTTATTTAACTCTTTTTCTACCTTGATTGTGTAAATGTAAAACATATACCCTTAAGAAACAGTGACCGTCAAAAACCGCGTTCCAGCTTTTCCGGGGGGGGGGGGGGGGGGGGCTTTTTCGCCATCTAAAATCAGAAGGATTTTCAACAGATTGGTGAGTTGATAAAATTTACCACTCATCAAAGTTTAAAGAAACCAATTGTATTAAAACGTATTGTTCAATTGTGTAATCATAAAAAAGTTTGTCACGTTAAAACCCGCTCTACCAATCCAAGATGGGGGGGGGCAGCTTTTTGTACTGGATTGGTGAGCAGATAACACAATTTTAACACTGAGAAAAGAAACCAAATGTATTAAAATTAAAGTGTATTGTGTAACATTAAAATAAAAATGGTGCGGGGGAGCTTTTTCGTCAACAAAAACTTGTAGGATTTGCGCTGGATTGGTGAGTAGAAAACTCTGTTGGGTTGGGGCGCTTTTTCGCCAAGGTAAATGGGAAAGATTTACACAAGGATGTTGAATAAATAAATCACTTACACAAGAAGCCAATTTTATTAACGCATAATAATGTACGATTTCACTAGCCAGTTTTGTTACGAAATTATGATACTAGTTCTTTAACTCTACTTATTGCATTACATCTTGCCTGGATCACTGTGTTAAAGTTAAAGAGAAACAAATATCACGGATTCCTGTATCGCTATCTGATCAGCAAAATATACGATCGGAGCGGGTGGGTGGAAGGCGATACTCTTTGCCGAAATTTTAAGAGCTAAGAAAACGAGTATGTTTTATCGAATAGATCATATTTTTTTTATAGTTGTTTCATAATTAGTCCTTATACTATAATTTTCATATGGTTAAGGTCACTAGATGGGGACGGAGTGGTCTCGAGTTCGAATCCGGGTTCAAGTCAGTAGACTAACTCAAGTTAGGGAAAGTAAAGGCGGCTGGGCATAGTGCTGACCACACTATCTCTTCATATGCCGAGGTCACGGAAACAAGTGAACTCCACCTATAGACCGTCAGGTTTGAAAAGGGAACATTTATAAGGTCACATGACCTACTAAAAGAGAAAAAAATGGTACAACACGACGACTGCTATTGCTTTGTTATTTTGTTCATCTTAACTATAATATACTATTACCGAAATTGTTCTAAAGATTCAACCAAAAGTATACCAAATACTATAGATTCTACAAACTACACTCTAAAGCAGTGTTTCCCGCCAGTTTCATATGCGCATTCACCGAACCCTTTCTTATTAGTTTTATCGTCCTCACTGACAAAATCCGATCGTAAATCATATGAGTCAGGTGTATGTCTTGCCGAAGCACTGAGACGGACTTGCCGAACTCATGGGTTCCATGGAACCCAGGTTAAGAAGCACTGCTCTAAGACTAAATTCTTTGGATTTTCTTCTTTTTGTTTCTTTGAGTCGACCCACTTGATTTTTATGAATCCAGCCTCAATCATCTATATTTCAAACGATTTCCTTTATGCCTTTTTTGGTCTCTTCCTCTTTCCCTGTGGACTAAACACCAGCACCTTCTTAGTGATGTTATTTACTGTCTTTATTGTGCCCACCTTTTTGTTGACCTTATTTCATTCTCCACTGTCTGCAACAACTAACATAGCTCCGAACCCACAGTAAAAGAGACTTCACATTTAGTTATACATCCTGATTGAATTTTTTTGACAATTCATATGAATTCCACACTTGATTAGAATGTTAAAACGCATATTATAAATTATACAATCAACCAGTCATGATATACCCTTGTCATATACCAACGTGTGCAATAAATGTTTCTGATAATTTGCTATTGTATGTCACTTGTATGACCTTATTCTAATAAACCGTGCAGAGGCGTATCCAGGTTTTCGTTGTAGGGGGAGCGAAAAGAGCAAAAAAAGGCGCCGAATTTTTTAACACGTTCTATATACGTGTATTATATATATATATATATATATATATATATATATATATATATATATATATATATATATATATATATATATATATGAGGGGGGTGCAAATCGAAAGTTTGAGGGGGGGTGCAAATCCCGAAAGTTTGAGTGGGGGGGGGGGGTGCAAATCGAAAGTTTGTCTCCGGGCGCCAGGAAGGGTCGCTACGCCTCTGCCTCTGACAAACATTGTCCTGATCAGGAGTGATAAAATATTTAGTACTTTGACGCATTTCCTGTTTAGAAATAATAAACATCGTATAAATTTAAAACCCTTTTTAGTGCATTATATATTACATTATTGGTATAAAGGCTTGTTAAGGCTTTTTATAAAAGTTATATTCATTGTAGGCCTACTTAACTAACACTGACACCACAAATTGTAATTAGTAAACAAAGCAATTTCAGTAAGCATTATATATATTAGGCCTGTATATATATATATATATATATATATATATATAGCCGACGATACAACTTTTTAAATTTAGAAATGTAAAGTTCCCTTTTCAAACCTGACGGTCTATAGGGCAAGTGAAAACCTCAGCAATGAGAAACAAAACACAAATATTTAGAAATAGAAGAATATCTGAAATTCGGCTTTACTTACGTCACTGGAAACGAAATAGAGAACAAACATTGCGTACTTTGCAAAGTTCTTATAAGTTAAAAGCCTATGAAACATTAAAATCTAAAACGGCATCTGAGACAAATCATTCGGAACACACCAAAAAAAGACATGGAGTTCTTTCGTCAGCATGAAAAAAAAAAAAAGCTCAATAGGAGAAAATGTCATCGAATCCTGCATGTTGAAGATGGTGAAATTACTTATTGGAGATTCCAGTGCAGTAAAGATGTAGCTAATATATCTGCCTGATAATATTATTCAGCATCTTATAGCAGACATGTCCGTAGATTTTAAAGAACAAATTTTAAATGAAATCAAGCTTTCACCAACGTATGCTTTTCAACTCGATAAATCAAAAGACTTGAGTTCATGTTCGCAGTTGCTTGTCTTTGTGAAATAAATTCATTTTCAGATGATAGCAAAGAAGAGTTGCTATTTTGTGAAGATAACATAAAGAAAATGAATATGTTTTTTGAAACTGGATGGTTAAAATGGGTTAAAACGGATGTGGGGTTTGTACGGATGGTGCGCCATCTACGTTTAGGTCAAAATCAGGCTTTCGGAAAGCAGTAAAGATTTAGCTCCCTAACCAAGGGGAATCCATTGCATGATTCACCGGTCAGAGGCGGGGGGGGGGGGGGACATATGTCCCCGGGCGCCGACCTTAGGGGGGGCGCCAAATTGAAAGTATGTCCCAGGGCGCCGGGAAGGGTCGCTACGCCTCTGTCACCGGTATGCCCTCGCCAGCAAGACTTCCGACTCCATTGCTAGTAAAAGTCGTAAATTATATTAAATCTGGAGCCCTTAAAGAACTGTGCAAAGATGTTAATAAAGATCACGAGGTCTGCTTTTCTACATTACAATACCCTGGCTTTCAAACAAAAAGTTGTGAATCGTGTTTTTGAATTGAAAAATGACTTAAGAAATCAAATTGTTCTCGAAAGCGCAAAGGAAACAAGACCTTTTGATATACTTATACGACAAAGAAACGGTTTGAGAGAGTATCAGTGGCGGAACTAGAAAAAAAGGGCCACCCCGCAAAAAAATTTTTTAGGCCCCCCCCATATATATATATATATATATATACATACATACATATATATATATATATATATATATATACATATATATATATATATATATATATATATATATATATATATATATATATATATATATATATAAACACGAAATACGAACATACAATACTCATTTTTGCCCTAATTGAGTTTTTAAAAGATGTTTTTTTTAATTAATACAAATTACAACATATAGTCATGTGTGTAAGTGTATTAGTGTGTTCAGTGAAAATTGGTTATATTATATCTCTGCTAAAAGGCCTCTTACCATCTAGTCCAGGGGTCTCCAAACTACGGCCCGCGGGCCGTATTATTCACCTGTAAGCTTTAAATGCTAAATATGTGGACATTAGCAGTGTACTGAATCCCTTGGTGAAGATGGTGAAATTAATAAGGCCACATGGACTTAACCATAGTTCGGAGACATGTTGAAAGAATCCCGAGATTTACCATTTTACACAGCTGTTAGATGGCTAAGTTGTGAGAAAGTTCTGGGCAGAGTATTTAAGTACAGAATTGAAATAGGTTATTCCCTGGAAAGTAAAGGCAAGCCACAACCATTAATGTCTTATGAAGAGTGGGTATAGAAATTGGCCTCTGCTGCAGACATAACTAGTCATTTAAATTTTCTGAACCTAAAACGGCAAGAGAGGGAAATCTAGTTTCTATACACCCACTTTAAGGCCTTCAGATCCAAACTTGTCATGTATTTGGAACAATGGGCCTACAGGCCAACAACTTTACGCACTTTCAGCAGTGCAAGGTCTTTACGGCTGAAGCAACCACTGAGTTCCCCACGTCATTTGCTTGAGAGAGCCTGCAGTTTCAGTAGCAGATTTTCGGACTTGGATTCAAAGGCAAAAGAAGTGAGACTGTTTCAAAATATAACACTAGGCCTACGGGGGATGGCAACTCGGGATATATACAGTATTTTAAGTCCATTTTTAATTACTTAAACTTTTTAAAATCTCGCAGAAAAAAGAACTGATCGCCAAATAAAATGTGTATAATAGTACGAAATATTATTAGTACTTTATATAATTCACATGCTTTTTGAGAAATCGGAAATAGTGTAAATAACTACTTCCGGTCAACAGAAATTACTCAAAATTTGATAGATCTAGAAGGCAAAAGAATTAGATATTTTACTTACAAGTGAAATTTCATTTATCTATCTGAAATAGTACTCAAGTTATATGCTTTTGAAAAATTGAAAGTAGAATAAGTTCCATTTCCGGTTATCGGAAATAGCTGAAAAGTTGATACGGATCTACAAATGGATATAATACTTATATATGAAATTTCATCAACCTAGCTGTAACGGTACTCAAGTTATACCGACAAGATTGCAAAAATTCCTTTTCCCGACTCAGGGAGGTAAAACGTCGAGATTTGCAAACATCTTGATCTGTGTATTCTGTGTTTGCAGTTTGCACACACACACACACACACACACACATATATATATATATATATATATATATATATATATATATATATATATATATATATATATATATATATATATATATATATATATATATATGGGGGGGGGGCAGACATTTTTCTAGTTCCGCCACTGAAAGGAAACCATTTCACTTCATATACTCTTTCGACAGGCATGCCAGATTTGAAATTCCATTTTTCCATGATTCTCGGCGGTCGAGAATTTTAAATGACTTTTTAAAAGTTCAATATTTCATGCACTAAAATGAGCTTCGGTGTTAATTTTTGTTTTGTTATTTCATAATGGCTATGCTTTAAAATGTAATTGGTTAAATTAAAATAATAGTAATAGGGAATAATTAATTTAATACATATGAGAGCCTATTGTGTGTACAAACTCACCTATATTGGGGGGCCGAATTTTTATTATGCAGGGGAGATAACGGCTTTTATTTGCGATTTCGCCACTGAACGAGTCATGTTGAATTTTGACAAGGGCTACATTGAAGTGGGGGAAGTGAAGTAATGTGACTAAGAATCAGTTCAGTCTTCTTTCTTCTTCTTCTTCGTTCTTATATCAGTTCAGTAATTATGTGTAACACATATCATGGTTACCAATCAAGGGGGATAAATTATAAGTTATAATTTACTTGGTTGCGGCCCCTGTGGGACCGCAACTGTTTATGACGTTTTTTTTTTATTGCTCTTCGGTGAGCAATGCTCGTCCCCGTGTTCTGTGTCATGTGACCTCTGGGTAGTTCGTACATGTGTCCGTGTCATGCAAATCCCAGGCTGCTATGACATGGATGGTGCCGTTGCCTATGTTAAGTTGGTCATGTAGACCTAATGAAGGGCTACTATTTTAGAGTCGTTTATGGTTTGGATGTTTATGACTAGCCGTATATACGGATTTGCAAATAAAGCCAGTGTCTAACAACAACAGCGTCATTTCATCGTGGCATCTCTCAGGGTCAGCCCATATAAACACAACACCTCAGTGGGTAACATCCCTACTGAGGCAGTGTTAAATAGGTTTTATAATTTAAAAATGAATTAAAAAATGGCTTTTAAAAATTCACTAAAAGTCAAAATGATTTCATGAAATATGTAATAATGCACCACTGTTTTAATAACTAAAAAGTAAAGTGTGGGTTACTTTATGTTGCATTGAATACCCATGCTTATGCCTCAATATACAAAGAAAGGTAAAAAGTAAGATATTCAACATGTTTGTAACTTAAAATTTATTCAAATCAAACAAAATTCCAGTAGAATTTATTACATGACAAAAAAAAAAAAATCAAACCATTAAAATAAATTACACATCCAATAAAAAATTGTTGGAAAATACTTAACTCTGTAACAAAAATTTGGTTTCTTTTGCATGCCTTGTGCTGAGTATACTCCACTTGAGGTACTATTTAATTTCTAAACTAATATTAAACTATTTAAAGAAGATAACAAAATTAAACGCACTACACCTAAGCAAACAAATGAGGTTTGTTCTCCACGGTTCATATTAAATCATTAACTTCATGATTATGTTGGTAAAAGACATACATCTACAAAATTGTATAAAGGTTCTAGTGTTTTGTTGGTACATTATAAATCACTAGTCCACTAGCAAGTTAAGCATGCAGTTCTTACCACAGTTGTTGGTGATGTAACCAAATAAATAAAAAATAGTTTTGTTTTAATATTACTTCTGCTATTACCCAGTTATAAAAAAAATATTTTATTTACAATATAATAAAATGTCTTTTAGGCAAAGCAAAAAATGTTAAAAAGTGAGTTAAAATTGTTTCTGCGAAGATACTTGTAGTATCTAACAAAATTACAATTTACTACTTAGTTAACACCACTACAAAAATAAGACTTGTAAATTAACCTGTATCTTATAAAACTTGATTAACTAAGAGCTGCCACTACATATGGTACGCTTCATACCACATTTCTCCTGACTCTTTTAGTGACCTTAAAAAAAAAAAGAAATAATGTGTTTCAAACTACTACAAAAACTATATTAACAAATCTAACCTAATAAAATTTCTAACTCAAATGCTTTGCACAAGTTCAAAAACAAAATTTATATATATAGAAATGAAATATGAAATTAGTATTTTTCAAATAAGACTACAGATTTCTTAAACATTAGATTATCGGTTACCAATTCACTGTTTAAGTAATAAGAGCACACATTCTGGTGCTTTTAATTATAAATTCAACAAAATAAGCATTTAAATTTTGAAAAATATATGAATATCCTTACTGCACAATATCACTCAAGGCTCGGTACAATGATTTGCATTGGTAATTCAAACCATGTTTTTTACAAAGTGACTTGACAAGTGGTGTTGCTTTATGCAGATTATTTCTTGGCATTGTAGGAAATAAACTGAAAAATAGAACAAAATTCACAATAGCAGATTTATTTATCCTTGCTCTGATCTTTAAACTGAAATAATAATAAAATGTTTTAATAACAAGATTTTATATAATAATTTATAAATAATGCACTAAAAAGTAGAAAGAAAATTATTACAATTTTTTTTAATAATAATGCTCTACTAATCTACTGTTGAAATAACAATGGAGAAAAAGCATGGGTCGCTTCTTAGATTTTTAGTAAAGATGAGAGTGACCCAGACTTTTCTCTATAGTTAGTTATTAAAAACTTTGAATACACTAGAATTGCTTGACTAAAACAAACTGCACACCAAATGAACAAAACAATTTGCTTATAACTGTTGGGAAATAGAACTTAATGTAGGAAACTAATTCTTAAAAAGTAATTAACCATCCAATTAAGTCAAATTTTATGTCACATTGGATTGTCATGTGAATTTGACCCACAAGCCAATTTTGAAAGAAATTGGTTAGTAAAAAGTGGTTAAAATTTCGCTTGCCAGTTTTGACCAATGACAGTGCTCTACATCTGTCTGTCTGGTTAGTGCTTAATGTTTAGTCTGTATGCAAAAAAAAAAATCAGGCAGATGTATTCTAGCAGTAAGGACTGAGTTTTCATAATCAAATTATCTTTTTTAATTTAACAAAACAAAAAACAACAACCCAGAAACATGACATGCTAAAAGTATGATATTAATAGACTACTCATAGCTATAGTAGGACTTACTGATGCTCAATTTGGAAATTTAAATGGCCTGAAAACCAATCATTGAACAAAGATTGTTCTACATTACAGGTAGCCTTAAGTTGGGAGGTAACCCAATCTTCATCTTGGTCATAGTTAACATCCATTGGAATATGACTCATCTGAGTAGTCCAGACAAACCAGTGGGACTCAAGAAATCTGGAAAGGTTCATTAATGTTAAGTTATGCTAAACATAAAACAAAAAAAAAATCATTTTAATCTGGAATTATTAATGGTGGAAATATTTTTTTTTACAAATTGTAAAAGAAACAAGTAGAAAGTTTAGACAGCTACATTAGACCTATCCACTTATTTACTATTAAAGCTGACCAAGGTTTGTAGCTGTATATTTTTTGTGCACTTCTGTAGACTGAATGTTATCAAAAAGATAAAAGTTTGTCTAGTATTTATTAAAAGCATGTTAAAATTGTATAAATTAAAAATTGTTATCTATCATGATAAACAAAACAAATGATAAAAGTTTATAAAAAGATAAGAGTATATGGACAAAGAGTATATTGACATAAAAAAATAACAACTCAGCAAATTATTTTGACACACTTACCTAACCCAAAGATAAAATAGTAAAGAGCCACCAACTCCAAGAAAAGGATAAAACATAACAATATATCGGATAAAAAATGTCACCATCCAGAATATTTCCTGTAGTAAAATAAAAAACATAGTCACAGTGTTATAATAACTGGGAGTGTAAAAATAAAACAGGTTATGTGACAAAACTTCAGTTACTCAATGGAAACTTTTGTACTCACCCCATAAAGCTTTCTTGACCATAAAAAGTAAGGTACTTCATAATTAAAATATAATGGAAGAAGAAGTGGGGGCATAACTGAAAGAAACCAATAAAGCATTTAAAACAAAGTAATGTTATAGTAATTGTATTAAGCAGATAAAAAATTATTTTGAAAAAACAATGCTATTAAATTTAAAAAAAAAAGGTAACTTTTTTAAGGTTCAAACTTACCCATAAACCAATACTTGTGCTGATATTCATATGGCATAAATCCCTTTTTCTTTTTGCCCCACTGAGTAAGATAAAAAAAGCATTATAAAATAGTAGGCGTACATTTATTTTCTATTGAAAAACTAATTACAATGTTCAACAATACTGAATCAATTTACTCTAGGTCTATTTAAGTTTAACTAAAACATATAATCTAAAACCAGAGCTTAATCAGACCTCAACTGGTAAAACTTTCCCAATCAGAAAAAACATATCAAGACGAATGTCTGGATCTTTGCGAATCATGTTCGGTTTAGCATGATGTAAATAATGTCTATAATTCCACCATGATGAAGACACGCCCTAAGGAATATATTTAAATACTTAAGTTCTCATTACAAAGAATACATGATTAAAAACTTGAAATTTGTGGAGTCTTTATTCGTATGCTATGACAGGGATTTCATTTTAAGTCTAATTTTCATCAAGAAGCTTATATTTATAAATGTCAGTCACTATATTTGCAAAGGAACTTTTAAATAACATGAGTAGGATAAAGATAAACAAGGTGGAGAGAAGGGAGAAATCCTCCAATCTTTCCTGAGATAATAATAGCTATACAAATATACATCAAGAAACATTTAACAGAAAATTGTATTTAACACAAGTGAATCACTATCAGTGGTGAGTTGCTGCAATCTCAGAAGATAGGATATTCAAGGACAGTTTATGATAACATTTAATTTACAATTGATCTACTTTATTGAAACTTATAAGTAAGTTATTACATCTTTTTGTAAGAAAACATTTTACAAGTTATGATTTTATTTTATTTATATATTCAAGTGCATATTAATGCACAATATTTTGTTTTTCCAACACGAGAGCTGGTTACAGTTTTCCATGTTAGATACACAAAACCTTCAAATCTAATCCTATATGTTAAACTGAATTTTTTAATTCAATTTTGTTATGAGGGCATTATCAATGCGTTAATCTTGTATTTTTTAGATGTGACTGTTTTCTAGAACAGAGCTATTCAAACGTAAACAAGTCTACATCATATTTCTTGTATCTTAGTTATTAGGGAGCCAATTCGTCCACACTACCGCCCTAGGATAGGGTGTGCTGTATGAAAGCATGGAGTGTACATTGAGTGAGGTACAATACGCCACTGCCACTGTTCAAGTGCTAGAGCGCTTTATGGCACTCCCAGTTTGACTTAGACATATATTGAAGTCTACTGTATCCATAGTGGATGACGCTCTTTAACTTTCTGAAATGGGTGAGCGGGCTAGCTCACTCTAGATATGTCAATGAGCAAGAGTCAAATTGTTAATAGCGAATGACTACAAAACACACTTCTATTGTTTAGCTCATACTCATAGATGTAAAGTAAAATATTTTGGGTCTAGGTTTCTTAAATGCTAAAATAAATACATGTCACATACTTTAAAACAACAAAAATACAATTTTTTAAATACCTTAAAAAAATTTAGCAAGAAAATATGGATTGTATGGTTTATTTTTGAAGAAGCAAACACTGACAAATGGCCATAATCATGCTGCGCCCATCCAGCTTGTGCCTATTGATAAAAATAAGTAGAAAATTTAATAAAATCTCCTATAGTTTTTTAAATAACCAATGGAAAGATGTTCAGTGAGTTGCTTTAGAAGTATCAAGGATATTTTAAAATGCTTTTAGACTGCATCAAGAATGTGATTATTAAAAAAAACAACACAAATCTAATTGAATCCTCATAGTAACAATAGGGATGGTGAGAATAAGTTTTGAAGCACACAATGATAGACCTACTATTCCTGATATCTGATTACCAAACTAAAAAATTATATTTGTTTAAAAATAACTTACCTGAGCAGATACCAAAAACAAAGATGCTATAAGCAATGAAGTCCAGGATGTGCCAAAGTAATATACAGTAATCCAGCCAAGAAATTCAAGTAATAAAATGTGAAACATGATAAATGAAAAGAATGGAACACTAGCTTTAAACAGTCCCATTTCCTCCACTGTCTGCCTGAGTTCTCTAAAATCTTTGATAAGCTCGCTCTGCAAATGTAATGTCATATTTATTGAAATTTTGCATTTAGTATTTCTTACACTATATCTTAATTGTAATCCACTGACCCTGACTTACCTCTTTGTTTTCATCTTCTCTCACTTTACCAATACGAAGAGGACCCAAGTATTTACTGACAGATTTTTTGTCATTATGAAAAGCAACCCATGCATCCTGTTAAAAAAAGAAAAATTTAAAACAGGGAGCAAGGAGGAAGGCCATCTTAAGTTTTTGATTCTAAGCCCTTAAAAAAAAAATAATTAAAATTGCATTTTGGCCATACCACTATTTTTTGTACCAGTCTATAGCCAGCTATATAAAATGAATAATATTGATTAGGATGATAATTTTTATTTTCTACAGCAAAAGGAGACACTTTTTGAAAAAACCTGATTTGCTTTACTAGATCTTTAAAGTCTTAGGTCATAGTCAAGTACTATATCTAATGATCTTTCTAGTAGGCTATTTACGAGCCGACTCGTGGCGCAGCATAGGCTGCTGTTAAGTTGTTTTATTTTCTACGTTTGAGCAATTCATAATTTGTGAATTCGACAGTACCAATGCTGCGACTGACAATATAAACTATTTGCCCCTAATAGCCGTCACGAATACACTCTGCTCTGCGATTGTAAACATAAAACATCCAGCATGAACCACAGCTCACCAGCCTGGAGGAGGTGGGAACGATATGGTCTCTTGCACATGCCTGGAGAGCAACGGGAGCAAGAGAGTTGGCGGGTCGGCACGCGTACATCATTGTAGTACATGGTGGTGTTGTTTCCCATGGTCCCATGTAGAGAATTATATATGGATGAGCCGACCCGCAACGTAGCATGGCCTGCTATTTAGTTGTTTTACTTTATATTTTTCAGTAATTCATAATTTGTGAATTCGACGCTGCCTATGCTGCGACTGAAAATATTTTCCTTTAAAACACTATCAGTAGCTTGTGAAGGACACTTTCTACTCAACCCCCCCCCCCCCTTGAAAGCAGCCGTCCGTGACGACAACAGACGACAATGAGAAGATCAAGCAGAACTTGATATTACCTCCCCTTAGTTTCAAATCGTTTAAAAACTAAATTATCTGCCCTTAATAGCCTGCACTAATTAAGCCCTGCTCTACGATTGTAAACATTTAGTGTTAACCACACTTCACCAGACTAGTGGGGGTCAATGTTGAATTTAGACAGAGTAGACTGTAGATTAGCCTATTAGATTACAGCCTACTAATATTATTTGTTTATTATTTGATTGGGCTTAAAAATAAAAGTAACTGCCTAAGTATGTAATAAGTAATAAGGGTAATCTGTCGTTTTGGGTACGTAAAATCGCCCGCAGCTAGTAATGTACGAAAAAGTTACCTCATTGTCAAGGCTTTAATAGAAGTATATTTTGATATATTTGTGTCAAATATTATAGATAAATGAATAAATAACCTAAATCAATAGCTAAATATATCAATATAGGCAAGAAATTAACTTCCCCTGATCTCGCGCTATAAGTTAACAAAGAAAGAACTTAATCAAGATGGCTGCTATAGTAAATGAGCATGGTTGCCTGTTGGAAACATCGCTAGTATTCATTTATTATTGAAAAGTTTTAATTCAATTGTTTGAAAACAGGTACATAAATGAAACAAGGAAACATTTTTGTATTTTTCAAAACACAAATCCTTCTCAAAATGTGAAATAATTATTAAAATTTAAGGAGTCACCTTTTTTTCACATTAATAGTCGCGGGCGATTTTACGTACCCAAAACGATAGATTACCGTAATAAGTAGTAGTAGTATTCAATTAGTCTAATAGACTAATGGCTAATCGTAATCAAGTCTTGTTAAGTTAATAGGCCCCTACTATTTAATAGTATTTATTAATGTATTCATTATATAATAATTTTTTTTTTAATATATAATATTGGAATTCAATTATAATTATTAATTAATTAATCTAGTCTAGATTCTAGATAAATCTAGATCTAGATCAATTCAGTAGATCTAGCTTTCTTACTACTATTTCTAGATACTAGATCTAGATCTAGAATTAGATTCACTCTAGAAAACTCTAGAATTGAGAAAAACATAGAACTAGATTTTTAAGTACCGTTGAGTCCTGGCCAGCTTGATTTGCGAGCATTCGTTCACCCCCGGGATGTCTTTTGGACCAAGTTGTTACATCATAAATGTATCCTTCAATCACGATCCACCTATCGGATTTGGATGCATGTTTCCTTATCTCAGCCCAACTATATATCGGCAAAGTGTCGTTGGATGGAATTCCAGATTTACACATCCCGCAAGATTATAAACGGGAAATAGACAAATATCAGCGGTTTAAAAACCTTTTAAAATAATTCGAATCAATTAGAATCTACTAGTGTTCAAACAAAACAGACCAAAAGCAAAGTGCAGATGTAGAGGATCTCTTTTATAATTTATAAACACGGAGCCGGGTAACCTTCAACTTTTACCTTCACCCCTCGCCTTACGATCATCGTCCAATCGTATATCGTTTAATAATTGCCAGATAAAAGTTTAGATCATTGCCATTTACTGCTAGGCCTAAAGTAGTTTTAGTTTGTCGGGGTCGATTTGACGGGGCCGTTTTGTCATTGGTCTGGTCGTTTTGATGCCGCACGCTTAACCCTTGTGAATTTCAGCATACGCGAATCACAATCACATATTACTCGATTGCATAAAATAGTAGCCACTTGTATTTTGAGTTAATAATAAGTGAGGCTCCCACGGTTTTTTCTTCTTCAAATTAAACGACATCTCTGCTTATATTCTGTACCAGCTGCATCCCGTGCTCCGCCACGGTAAATCTTTTTTAAATGTACCAACAGAACAAAACTAAACACAACACAAACGAACGCAAAAAAAAAACAAAAAAAAACGAACAAACAAACACAACACTCATAACATAAACACAATTTAAATGCAATCATGAAGGCATATTGCTCACAGTCTAGCCCGTAGCGCCAAATCGCGCCCTTTCCGGTGATTTGCACCCCCCTCAAACTTTCGATTTGCACCCCTTCCCCCCCCCCCCGCCGTAAAACTTTCGATTTCCACCACCACCCCCCTCGCAAATTTTTTCCAACCCACTTTGGCGCCCCCTAAGGTCGGCACCCGGGGACATATGCCCCCCCCCCCCCCTTCGCTACGCCTCTCCTATAAAACCCGAAAGATAGAAAACAGTATAAATAATAGGCAGTATCTATAATATATACAATATTTCACTTTATCCATTCACGCATTTTTTTTCCAGTACTTTAAATTTTAAAAATTTACAATAGAGTTTCATAACTAAAACCATTGCGCACCTAATGAACGTGATGACGCGTCTATAATAGTGCTGAATAGTTGATTAAAAATTATAAGTAATAAACAGTAGGGCCTACATTCAGTGAATAAAATAAATAAAAGATTGCCTTTTCTCAATCCATGCTAATTATAATTTTCTAACAATAATTTCCTCTTACACATCCGAATAATTTGCATTCACATTTTGCTAATTATATTATTGCAACACTAATTCCTTCTATGACGAACGTATATTTGCATTCACATTTTTTATTAGCGTGAGTTTAATGTATTTTTAAATTACCTCCTTTGTCAAAATTAGAAAAGAGTTAAATTAATTTGATTTTTCTACCGTACTGTTATTATGTTATTAAAATGTATCCACTTTTTCTGGGAATATAAACGAAAATGATATTTGACATTGATCCTTTTAATATGTTTTAGCAATGTGCGTGTATTTAATATTTTCTTTACGTTATGCGAAAGAGTACAAACAGTGGAAATTATAAAATAGCTCTATGCCGCTATATAAACAAACCCTACTCTAATACTTATAATAAGACACTGCGGTGCACTGAAAAGCACAGCATGGTGCGTAGTTTACTTTTATAGTCCCAAAATCTATAGCGATGACGGACGGAAGGAAGGAAGGAAGGACAGACACAGCCCGCTTATATTATAGATTACTAGCCGTCCCGCCAGGCCCTGCTCTGGCTTCTGTGAAAAACCTTTCTGTTAAAGACCATTACCTGTGTGTTTATTAATCATCATAAACCCGGCATTGCCCACCCAAACCACAACCAACCAAAACAACAAAACGCAAACATAACGCTAACACAATTACAAATACAAACGAAAACAAAAACCTAACAACAAACCCAACCACAACCACAAACACCAATACAAACACAAAGAAAAAACAAACAAAAAAGCAAACGAAAACAAAAACCTAACAACAAACCCAACCACAAACACCAATACCAACAAAAAAAAAAAAAAAACAACGAAAAAGCAAACGAAAACAAACCAAATTCAAACGCAAAACCAACCAAAAACACAAATACAAACCCACAAAAAAAAAAAACACAAACAAAAACGAAAAAAGAAAGAACAAAAACGAACCAAATCAAAACGCAACCACTAACGCAAACCCACCTAAACACAAAGAAAACACTAACGCGAACATAAACGCCCGGGGCGGAATCACCTGTTTTAGCTTAATGAACGACTATAGTACCCCAACTTATTCATAGTCTTTTGCACTCACTTAAACGAACGCGCCTGTTTCAATTTGATGAACAATTTTAATACTCCAAGCTTATCCGTAAAATACCTACAACATTTGCACTTGATCAATCCCCGCTAATTATGTAATTATTTTTTTTCCCCAACACCAAAACAAAGTAATTAAAAAGTAAATTATTTTCGACTAATGCAATGGTTTTATAAAGGGAAGTAATTTTGTTTTCCTAATTTATCAAAGGGAAGTAAGTGCTATAGGACTAAATAAAGACATAATTAGAATTTTTGTAAAAGATGATATTTTTTTTAAACTTGTGTTTAATGAACATGCCGACAATTATTACTGTAATTTGAAAAATGAAAATGATTTCCCAACACTTTCAATGGTAATTTTTTAGCTCATAAATTTAGACAAATGCGCACGATAATTTTCTAACACTTAAATTCGTACGATTCCAACGACATACAAATGCATTACATACAGAACTGAGCTTTATATATTAGATACTAGCCGTCCCGGCCAGGCCCTGCTCTGGCTTCTGTGAAAAACCTTCCTGTTAAAGACCATTACCTGTGTGTTTAGTAATCATCATAAACCCGGCATTGCCCACCCAAACCACAACCAACCAAAACCAAAACAACAAAACGCAAATATAACGCTAACACAATTACAAATACAAACGAAAACAAAAACCTAACAACAAACCCAACCACAACCACAAACACCAATACAAACACAAAGAAAAAACAAACAAAAAAGCAAACGAAAACAAAAACCTAACAACAAACCCAACCACAAACACCAATACCAACAAAAAAAAAAAAAAACAACGAAAAAGCAAACGAAAACAAACCAAATTCAAACGCAAAACCAACCAAAAACACAAATCCACAAAAAAAAAACACAAACAAAAACGAAAAAAGAAAGAACAAAAACGAACCAAATCAAAACGCAACCACTAACGCAAACCCACCTAAACACAAAGAAAACACTAACGCGAACATAAACGCCCGGGGCGGAATCACCTGTTTTAGCTTAATGAACGACTATAGTACCCCAACTTATTCATAGTCTTTTGCACTCACTTAAACGAACGCGCCTGTTTCAATTTGATGAACAATTTTAATACTCCAAGCTTATCCGTAAAATACCTACAACATTTGCACTTGATCAATCCCCGCTAATTATGTAATTATTTTTTTTCCCCAACACCAAAACAAAGTAATTAAAAAGTAAATTATTTTCGACTAATGCAATGGTTTTATAAAGGGAAGTAATTTTGTTTTCCTAATTTATCAAAGGGAAGTAAGTGCTATAGGACTAAATAAAGACATAATTAGAATTTTTGTAAAAGATGATATTTTTTTTAAACTTGTGTTTAATGAACATGCCGACAATTATTACTGTAATTTGAAAAATGAAAATGATTTCCCAACACTTTCAATGGTAATTTTTTAGCTCATAAATTTAGACAAATGCGCACGATAATTTTCTAACACTTAAATTCGTACAATTCCAACGACATACAAATGCATTACATACAGAACTGAGCTTTATATATTAGATTATAGATTATGAGATAGATTGTAATCACTGACGAGGAGCCACATTGGTTGTTAACAGTCTTTATTTACAGCCATGAAGGAAAGAGGAAGAGGAAGTACGATATACAAGGGACATCACTCAAGATGACAATATAAATATAATACTAATACAGAAGAGTGAGTTCCCTTGACCTCACAATTATCTCAATCTATTACATCCCTTTACCCTTAGAACACAATAACACATCTCTCAATAGAACAATTGATAGTATCCTAAAATCACCAATTATATTGTAACATGAATACTATGGTAGATTACATCCTTACAAACAATGCACAATATGCTACAACATAATCAAGATACAAAACAATGATGTCAAAGTCCTTTTGACCTTTAGAATCATAGGTCTAACTTATTTGGGACTTTGATTGTCCTGCTTGACCTTCTCAGTGGCTTTTGATTTGGTGACTCAAGATTCTGACCATCTGGATTCTCTATCTCAGGAGGTCTAGGATTTAAATCATTAACTCCAGCATTTACATTTTCTGACTCCAGACAACTTGGTTCACTCATATCAACAGAACTTGGTTGTGGAACAAACTGAGTTGGTGTGAACTGTTCAGATTTGGTGGGATTGACAGATTCACACTTATTATCTGCACAAGTTATTTTTAACTTTATAAGACACAGGTCCTGTACATTGAACAATTTGACCTGGTATCCATTTTTCCTTTCTCCCATAATTTCTTAGATACACATACTCATTAACTGCAAATTCTCTTTCAATGGATGATTTGTCATGATTTACTTTTTGTGTATGTTGATGTTGGGAAACAGACCTTTGAACAGTTGGATGCAGTAGGTCAAGATGAGTTTTAATTTTCCTACCACATAGCAGTTCGCATGGTGCAACATCTGTTGTTATATGAGGAGTTGTGCGGTATTTGGCTAATAACCTGTTTACTCTTTCATTGTCACATTTAGCTTCTTCTGTTTGGTATTTACTTTTGATGTTACCCTTTTAGTTTCTGTAAGTGCTAATGATGTTAGCAAAGTTGTTTGATGATCCCATTCCTTCTTATTAATGTATTCTCTTTAAAACATTTGAAATTGCCATATCACCATAATCATTTATTAAGTTACAAATACTTTGTTTAGGCAACTCTGACTGATAATGGACTGCATCTTCTCCATCTTTTATATTATCTTCACAAAGGTTTTTATTTCTTATTTTATATGGCCTTAAGTCATCATTCACAGACTCTTCAGGCCAACCATTCTTACAGTACTCATATACTTTTATTAAGCACTCATCTTTTTGTGTTTCTCTTTTAATATCATTCACATTTATATTGGAGTTATCCATGATAGTGAAGAGAACAAATA